TGCTAGAAGCTGCAGCTAGACTGCAGAAGTATTCGTTTTTTGTTTTTGAGGATGGAACAATTTCACACACAGATATAGGGAGGCTGACCTATACAATTGATTTATTATGGTTTATAATTTAATGTCAAGACAAAGAAGAAGAAGAAAAAGATGGCTGAGATGGAGGTTATAAATCTCCAAAATCATGTTCAGCTTAAGTCTCAGCAAAACTCACAACATTTCTGGAGCCTTGTAGATCCAGAAAACGATAAGAACATTCACCAAGCAGCACTGAAAATGTCTGCTTTATTTGGCTCTACATACCTTTGTGAAGCAGCTTTTTCTGACATGAATGTCATGAAATCTAAATACAGAACAAAGCTGAGTGATGAACATTTAAATGACTCTATTAGAGTGAACCTAAGTGGGTACACTCCAGCACACACCTGTATGGTGGACTCCATGCAGTGCCAGTCGTCTCACTGACTGTAAAAAAGAGTGAATGCACTTATTTTACACATGTGCCATAAAATGCTTGTAAGGTGGTGATTAAGGACATTTATGTGAATCTTCAGTGATGTACTTACTCTGTGGGCCATAATAATATGTGAGAAATGTTTGTTTTCTTGGACCTTGATGTGAAGTTAAGATTTGTGATAAGCTTTAGGTATTGCAATTTCACACGTGTACAAAAGTATAGCTTAATTCAACTGATGAGGACTATGTGAATAAATGGAAGCGATGTGATGCAAGTAGCTCTTGGCCACTTTCATTTTTTTCAAAGTAGCTCTCAGATGAAGAAAGGTTGGAGACCCCTGGTTTAGGACAATAATTAGCATTTGGGGTTTTGGAGGATGCATATCACAAATTAAAATCAAACTCAAACTGAAATGTAGCATTACCTGGGACAGCAAGATGTGATTTGTGCACATGTAGGTCTGATATTTGAACAATCAACAGCCACGATAAACACAAAGCAAATGTCTCTTTAGCGAGTGGGCAGAAGGGATTTGTCTAAATCGGGTAACGGGCACTGTGCCCTCTTACTTTCAGCGTGCGATTTTAAAGTGATGCCAAAAACAATATTTCTGTTAGTCAAAAACGGTATAATTACTCCAAAAATGTGACAAATAGAATGTTAGACACAAAGACAGCTTTGTTTTTACGGGGCTCCGACGTAGCATTGTTGTTCACGTCATCAGCTTGTATACAAGATCAGCGCCACAGTATTGCCCTCATTATATTTTTCTAGAAAAACCCCTGGGCTGTATTCATTTCTATTTGTGTTTTCTATCAATTAAACAGCCTTGGTATCATGAGGAAGAGACGGAGGGAGTTGAGGTGATATCATCTGTTTACAATCAATGAAACCCAGGATCCGTTCCCACAGTGCTGAAGACATACGCAGACAACCATCCACCCACACATCGGACTGCACAAACACACACATAAACACAGATACAAAGTGGAAACGGCAGCCTAACTACACCAGCAGACACACAAGGAGAAGGGAGGATTAGGATTCTGAGCGTTGGCAACCATAAAAAAGATACGGGGTAAAAAGCCTGAGAAAAGTGTTGAGGTTAACACTGAGGGCAAGCGCTCTTTCTCCATCACTCAACAGTCCTGATCCTGCAGCAGCTTCATATCTGCTTTATTTTGTTCTCCAAACTTTTGTCAGTAAATAACTTATAAGTTGAAAGTGTGGTTCTGTTTTGTGGCGCGAGTACACCAGAGAGAATAGGAGAGAGAGAAGAAAAGCCCAATAGAAACACTGGAGCTGCAGAGAAACAGAAACACTTTCGTTGTTCTTCGCAGACAAGCTTGGTAAACGCTCCAAGAGTCCTCCCCGGGCATCATGGGAGAAGTCTAATCTGATCTGGAGGAAACATTTAGCCAGAGTTATGGCTGCTCAGAAGAGATTTACAGAGAGAGTTTCACTTCCTGTATCCGCAAGAGCCCCTTAAATGTTTTATCAGTCATGTTTCATAAATAACGCTAAGTTGTCTCTTTTGTGGGTATTTACTTTCTTACTCTACGGCTTTAATTAAAACATGCCATTTTGGAATATAAAGGCAACTAAATAAGTTTAGAAATCACATAAAAACACCTTTCTATCTATCTCTCACAAGCCTCCATTAAGCTGATCAATGAGAGCCCCCACACACACACACAATAATGATGTCTTTGATCATAGAAAAACACGGAGCGGTGTGTGTAAATCCTCCAGAAATAGCTGCATTGTGACCCAGTCAATCAGAAAACAAACACAAAAGAAGACAGAGACACACATGCTCTTCTTCTCCGAGAATAAACCCTTTATCTCGTGATCATTCGGAGAAACAACAAAGCGGATCGATACCATTGATGTGGATGACAGCATCTCTTGAATAGCCGGCCCTTCTCAGCAACCAGAGCCAAATTAGGCTTGTTTGATTGGATCACATATAAAGCCTGCTTTCTCTCCTCTGAGAAAAGACTAATGGTGTGTTTTTAAATCGGTCTTCCCATGACAGGAGAGCTGATGCTGGGATCTGAGCGGGTGTCAGACCACACCGAGGGCAGAGATACGTGCTGCGAGAACTAAGACGTGTTGGCAGCGAATATAAAAACCACAGGCTCCTGACGTTCCCGGAGGACTTCAGAGGGAACACAACCTGCGTTTGGTTTCCTGCCAGCTTGTTAGCTTGTTAAGATGTGGTCAAATAAAACTGCAGGTGGAAACCAGCAGTGTGTCAGTATGTAGAGACTTCTAGCAGCATCATAACATCAAGGTGGTTAGCCTGGTATAGCCACAAAGCTAGGAAGAGTTGAAGAATCTACATTTGTATTAATAAAATGCCTTCTTAGATATTCATACGTTTTCCAGTACAACTTTTAGTACTTTATAAACTGAACTGAAAACGATTTGATCTCCATGATAAGATACGAAAATAAGAAATGATGTAACTCCAGATGTAAAAGTACAAAATAAACTGGACTTAAAGTCATACTGTTCATTTCACACCTTTATTTAATTCAATATTCCATTCCTCACACACTTAATGTATATAATATCCTGCTTTATATTTTGTTTACTGTAAATTGGGATTTCAACGTGTATATTTTCTACTTTTTTTATTGCCGTTTTATTTCTATTTTGAGATGTTTACATTTTAGAATTGTTTTTTTCTACTCTTAATTTCTCTTATGTGCAATGTCTTGTGTTTTATGCTGCTGCAACGCAAACATTTCCCAAATTGGGATCAATAAAGTACATCTTATCTTGTTTTATCTTATACAAAAATGGCAGGAAATGTTGGTTACTTTAAGCAAACAATAAATTGGACAGTCCAATGCAAATATGTGAGAGAGAAAAAGCTACTGGTTCAATTTGCTCTTATCCTTATTTGTATTTCAACAATTGATACATGTTTTTGACAAAGGAAAGGTCAAATACACAAGGTACGCTAACTGGCCGGCACCAACTGGTGGACAGACACAGTTAGCATAGCTGGTGAACATTGTGGAGCATTAGGCAGCTATAGTCAGATTTTTCCCTAGGAGGAGATGGTGGAGACCAAAAGGGAGCAAATAGGAGAGCGTGTAATGTACTTACCTTCGCTGGGTGGTCTGATACACGACTCCAAATCAATGTCTATGTTGCTCCATGCCTGTTGGATGAGTAAAATCAGTGTTAGCTGAGAATATGGTGACACCAGCAGGATCAATAAACTGATCAGGAAAGCTGGGTCAGTTATCGGCATCAAGCTGGACCCCTTTGAAGCTGTGGTGGAGAGGAGGACACTGAACAGGCTGTTGTCCATCATGGATAACTCCACCCATCCTCTCCACCTGCAGATGGACAGTCAACGGAGCTCCTTCTCCAACAGACTGCTGCAGCTCCCCTGCCACAAGGACAGATACTGGAAAACATTCCTGCCCACTGCAATAACACTGTCCAACAAATCACCTCTGGCTGGGAGAGAACTCTCTGCTCCAGAGTTTCTCTAGAAATAAAACCACGTTGTACATTTTACTCATACATAATCTGTTCAATATTTAATACTCCATATTCCATATATTTTTGATATGGTAAATATATATATATATTTGTATATATAATATATGCATGTATATTTTCTATTTCAACATGTATATTTTCTATTTTCTTTTTCTTTCTATTCTTGTTTATTTTGTAGTTTTGTTTTATTGTAAAATGCCTTGTCTTTTATGCTGCTGTAACAAAAACAATTTCCCAAATTGGGATCAATAAAGTACCATCTTATCTTATCTTATCTTTTATATATATATATATATAGGACAATGTGCGGTTTAAACTCATATTAATCCATCTCATATCCACATTTCCCAAACTAATAGTGGGGTATCTTTTGGGGAGTTTTTACTAGTTCATTAAAAGGTTTTAAGGACAGTCATTTGCTGTACAGATTGAAAAATCCCCTGAGGCAAATTTGTAGTTTGGGATATTGGGTTGTATAATTAAAATGTGCTTTGATTTGATATCTGTGCTCATTAAAAATATTTTCAGCAACCTTAAAAGTAATGTGTTCATGTGACTTCCAACAGGGTGTAACACTACAGTTAGTATGTAAGCTTAAGTGTCAAACTGATTGCCCCCCCCCCCTCCCTTTTTGTTGTGACAACTGTGTCAAGGTTGATGCCATCAGTGCTCTTTTAAAGTATTCATTAGATTCACTGAAAAGGTGTCAGTTTCTGTTGGTAAAGATAAGTAGACAAAGGGAAAAAGGCAGGGAGTGAGACTTCTCTTTTCAATCTGAGGGGGAATCATGTGTGTGTGTCAGTGAGTAGTGTGTGTTTTATGACACAGTGAGAGCAAAGGTCTAAGGTTCAATGACCAAAACATAACTCAAGCTCCCAAAGCACACGTACACAAAAAAGTATTGGATTTAGACACATTTTCCCGTTTGGATTAACCTGCAGTAACACTCTCTCTGTACTGTAACACACACATATTCACACACTCAGACCTGGCCAGTAGAGCTAATCTTCTTAGCAATCACAAGGTTTGACCGTTGAAAGAGAACAAAGTTCACATCGTCAACAACAACAGTGGGGGCATTTCTGCCAATGAGAGAGAGGGACGGGAGCAAAAGAAAGACAGAACGAGAGAAAATCACAGTACCTGCTTTACCTCTGGATTACACCCACCATATTTCTCCCTGAGGAATTATTCTGTGGATTATCTCACTTCCTTCACCGGTGAAACCTGATGTGACACCCCGACGCTGACTGAGTTTTAAAACTTTTAGGTCTTGAAGTTATGTGACAGCCATTGCAAATATGTCACCTTTGACCTCCACTTAATTCCTGGCTATGATACCATTTCATTTGAGTACCGACAGCTGCCAGGACAACTATGTTTTAGCTCACTGATAATATTTGGCAGCCATCTGTAAATCATTACCATCTGCATCCCTTCAAACCTGTCTCTGGGGAACCTGAAACTGTAAGTAGATATTTTTGATTTATACTAATAACCGTCTATGCTGTGTCTTTAATAATTCACAAACGTTTTCTGTGAATGGAGCTGCTTGTTTTGGGGTACTCTGAGCTGTGTTTTCCTTTTGTGTTTCCATTCAAACATAAAGGAAATGACACACATGACTTGACCATCAGCAAAAACAGATAGGGTTGAAATTATTAGCCTGATTAATGATTAATTTTTAACTCAGAATGTTTTAATTTACCATATATGGACACATTGAACTGATCTGCATGCTAATGTTAGCGAACATCGAAACAAAGAATGTAAATGCATTCTTTAAAATGTCTCATACCGCATTTTCCTTTGAAAATAACTTTACATCATGTGTCACCACTATTGAAAACAGAATGGTAATTGTATGATTAATGTGCATATACAAAAACTACATTATTTTCTCCATCTCACTTTAAATTGTAAATACATTTGGGATTTTCAAAAAACAATGGGCAAGCCTGCAAGAGCTCTGACTTTTTTCCTTATTTAACAATTACTGTTGAAATGCTGAAATTACTCAAATTGATTATAGTACACTCAAAAAGATTTGGTTTGTTTAACTTAATTAACTCTTGCTATAGTACATTCTTACAAATACTATAAGGTACTTTGAAGGAGGTACTACCATGTTACCAACTCTACTAATAACTACATTGTATGTCAACATGAAGGAAAGACCTCATCCAATTTAAAGTTAGCTTTTACATGATATTAGAACAACTGTAGTATATGACATAAAAGTATAAGAAACGTTGACTTACTTGCTATTAAAACTAAGTCTTATATGTGAGAGAATTGGACTTTTAAAGCATTTAATCCCTTTTGTAACCTTGATGTCATTTGGTGCTCCCATTTCTTAATCAAATCAAATCAAATCAAATCAGGTTTTATTTATATAGCACATTTAAAAGCGATTTTTGGTCGAGCCAAAGTGCTGTACATGTAATAAAAACATTACTACAAACACAGTAAACGACAATTAATTACAACAGATATATCTTAAAAACAAAATAAAAATAAAACACACAAAAGTCAGGAGTCGTGCTCCGCTCTAACTAGAAAGCCAGAGAGAAGAAGTGTGTTTTTAGTTTAGATTTAAAAACCCCTAGGGTCTGGGCCGACCTCACATGGAGGGGCAGAGTGTTCCAGAGCCTAGGGCCAGCTGCTGCGAAGGCTCGGTGCCCTCGGGTTTTTAGCCTGGTCTTGGGCACTACCAGCAGCAGCTGGTCAGCAGACCTTAAAGCTCTGGCTGGGGTGTAGCGCTGGAGCAGTTCAGTTATATAGGCCGGAGCCAGCCCATTTAGTGCTTTAAAAACAAATAAAAGGATTTTAAAATCAATTCTGAACCGAACTGGAAGACAGTGTAGTGAGGCCAGAATAGGGGTGATGTGGTCACGCTTTTTGTGGCCAGTCAGCAAACGTGCAGCAGCGTTTTGGACTAGCTGTAGGCGTTTAATTGAGGCCTGGTCCATACCCACATACAGAGCGTTACAATAGTCCAGTCTCGAGGTTACAAAGGCGTTAATAACCCTTTCTAAGTCATTAAAAGATAAATACGACTTGGTTTTGGCCAATAGTCTTATTTTAAAAAAGCAGGATTTTACTACGGTGCTGACCTGCTTGTCGAATTTAAAAGTGTCAGTGAAGGTCACTCCAAGGTTCATGACCGAGGGGAGGATGTTTTTTTTTATAGAGCCCAGAATATCAACCGGAGAGGCTGGAGGTTGCGGTCCAAAAAAGATGACCTCAGTCTTGCTCTCATTAATGAATGATTAAGTGTCAATCTGATTGTGCCTCAGTTGTCATATAATCACATTAATCTGGCACCCTCTTTTAAAATGTTTCCTCCCATGCAACAGCAGCATGGAGGTGCTGAGCGGCCCCTGGGCTGATTTGGCTCTGCTCCTTCGACAGACCATGGTGCAGACAGACAGAGAGACAGACAGCTTCTTCCCTCTCTGGCTGTTTGGTCTGCTGCTGTTCCTGTCTGTCTGCCTGATGCTGCTGCAACTGATCGTCTACCTCAGCTGGAAGATCAGACAGGGTAGGCAACGTCATTAACTTTAAATGTCTAGGCCATGTCCACATCTCTTGCTAATGTTATATTTACCATGGTGCTGTGTAACTAAATGGACGTGTCTTTCTCCGGGGCTACGCTAACTATAAATAAACACATCAACACATTGAAAGGATTTCTAGATAAAAGAGTACTCCAAAGAGGAGGTTTTATCGCATGCTATCAATCACTAAAACTACCACTATCAGTCCAATGTCACGCACATATTTGTATTCATACCAGTATCTACAGAAAAAATAATACATGAATTGCACTATACTTTCTGCAAACGCACTCATACACTGTCTTTTTAACAATGCCCGACGGCTCATGTCATGTAGAAAAATGTCTTGAGGCCCCGAAAACAAGCTACACTCTAAATAATGAAAAAGATCCAAAATAGGCTGCAAGAAGAAGAAAAACAACTTGGCAAAATGACATTTATATGATGAAACTAAGAGTGACTAAGGACCAGGTCACTGATTTGATTAGCTATAGTGGCCTGATTTGTCTGTGTGTTTATATGTGAATGTATGAAAGACACAGTGTGTGTTAAAGAGGGTCAGAGCATCAAAGCGTGGAAACATTGCAGAAATTGCTTCTCTTTCATCTGTGTGAGTGTGTGTGAGTGTGAGTGTGAGTGTGAGTGTGAGTGTGTGTGTGTGTTCTGATAACAAGCGTTGTTTTGATAAGTGAACTTGACCCCTTTGGGCTTTGCTTTGACACAACGTTCAGGCACTCAGTCATCAACACATCCAGCAAAGGTTATAGGTCTACCGAAATCATCCTCTCCCACTACCACAGACAGGATATATGAAAGTAAAGATTTATTTTATTGAGATTTTCACTAGATAAGCCTCAAATTCTGTTTAAAAAAGGACTGCAGCCTTATGTCAGCTCACAGTTTGGCTGTGTGCAGCCATCTATATAAAGAAGATGTGTTCATCAATTTCTTGGTGAGTGCTGGCATTTTATTTAGTATTTTGTGACCTGTTTTTAAAGATTAAGTTATCCTATGGCCATGTAGTAAAACTAGGAAGTGTGGCTGTGTGAGTGGTTCTCTGTTCATCAACTGCTGTTTATTCTCAGGCAAATTATAATCAATTAAGACTAGTGTTATTTTTACACTAGGAGTTTACTGTTTGTCAATGTTTCTATACGACTTTCTCTTTAAGCCTTCAGTATTAACTGACTTTATAGGAAACATGGCTGCATCTGTCGTCCAGTCATTAAATCACCATAAGATAGAGCCTAAAGCTGCATTTCAGGATGTTAATTGATGCGTTAAATAGCACATTAATGCAATTTAACTATAAACGTACTCAGTAATATGGTGGTCCTCCTAGCTCCCTCTGCCCGGTTAATGTTTACAAGGAGACGTCCATCTTCAACAATCCAAAGGGGAAACTCTGCAACACAGTTAACACCTTTTTTTACAACTTTCTAATACTACAGGTCTTTTTTCAGAAACAGGAAGTGAACAACATAATTTTAGTTGATAATGTAAGCTCCAAAATGTATAAAACAATGAGTTGAAAACATTGTTTACGTTTTCCGAGCTAGCCTAGCTGTAAGCAATAGCTAAGCTAACTTGTTAACAACGCTAGCTAAGTGGATTTCTGATATCAAAGCAGTATAGCCTATTAAAGTTAGCTAGCACAAATTTCTAGGGTAGCTTATGAATGGAAAAAAACGATATATATTAAAATGTTCATAATGGTAAGTTGATTTTCACAATGTTTTCATTAACTTTTGACACACCTGTGCGTGATGAGGACGAGTCGAGTGATTAACACTGCGCATGCGCACAATGGAATGGACAGTTTTCAAAACTCGTTTCCTTCGTAATGAAACACATAAAATCAAGGATTGGCAGACCTAAAGGATGACTGCATTTGTAATTTGACGATAACATAAATTGTTAGTTCATTATTAATTTAGCAAAGTTTCAAACAATAGCAACAAGCAATATACCAAAGGAAAAGGGTATGAAACAGTGTGTAGGTAGGCCTATGACTAAAGAGGTAAATACCTCCATTTCTCCTGTGTAACCACATCTATGCAAGAAAAAACATGTATGAGGACTATTATCCGTCTGTTTTGTATTTTGTCCTTGATTTTATGTTTCAAACAGTGCTCAAGTTTGTTCTCCTACTATTTTCCAGTTGAGGAGGATGTGGTGGTAGAAAACAGAAGCGCCATCTACCGGCAGATGAACAGGAGTGCAGACCGGAGCAGGAGGAGTGTTGGGTAGCGCTCAGCTGACGGCACACACGCACGCACACACTCTGACAGCACAGCACACACACACATTTTCTTCACCAACCACACTGAAAACAGAAGCATAAACCTTCTGAAATCATCACTTTTCTGTCACATTGCACGGACATCTCTACAAATCAGTGTGATAATAAATATCAACTCAATCAGGAAGACTTTATCTCAGCCATCATAAAAGTGCCTTAAGATGATGAATGTTGAAGCGTCTAAAGAAAAACCATTAACTCTGAAAAAAGATGTGATAATGACGACAGTTCTTTTAAACTTCATGTTAATCTTGAATATTACCTTTTCTGTCATCGTTATGAAGCTAAAAGCATCATAAAGCTTTCTTTAAAGCTTGGGAGAAAGTTTGAGAAACTGTGTTGAAAAGATAATTTGTTTGTATTACTGTACCTTTATGTTTCATTATTAGAATATCTCAACCGAGAAAACTAGTTTTATGAGAATTAGCATACAGGATTGACATTTTATACAACAAATTAACCTATGAAAGAATAAAAAATGATGTGACCAACAGATTTCAGAGTATAACAATCCTTTATTTAAACAGTGTTACACAGGGGAGGAGTGGCTGTGCGTGGGGGACACAAGACAATAAGCTGCTAGATAGAAAAACCCTTCCGATGATCATTGGTTGGCTAAAGAGAGAACAATGAGGCAGCTGTGGTTGGTTTTCCAAAGTGTTTTTTGTTTTATACAAAGTTTTTCTTTTGAGATTTTAAGTCATTGAAATACAAAATGATGCTGGTTGTATTGGTCATTGAAATGGTCAAATCTGTGGTACAAAGCATGAGATAATCATCTACTTCATCAGCCTCATACAAGAAAACAACAACATACTGTCTTTTGATTATATATTATTAATACCATCTCTTTCTGTTATTAATGTTACCATGTTTGTATGGAGCTGCCACTGGTTACATACTGATAACTTTCATCGGTTTGTCTATAATGTGTTTAATGTTAATAAAATTACTTATAGAAACACGTTCATTTGAGACAATTCTTTAATGAACCTCAAATAAAATGTCCACATTTTGGAAAACCAGACCCCGCAGCCCCCCCAAAGCCCCTGTGATTGGTTAAAAGAGCCCAGACCCCCGAAAAAGAGGTTAAACCCGGGGCTAGAAGTACAAAAAATAAATGGTGGCTTGTAGTGGTGTGTTCCTTCAATGTCAAAAACACTGAGACAATATTAAAAATATCAGAGAGGGCGCCATTAGATCCCAACTACATCAATTTCACAGAGATAAGACAATGAGCAAATCTACAAATATAGCTGTTGTGATACAAGCAATTCCTTTTTCAAAGTGTGATTTTTCTTTTGATAGCGAAAGTTTCCAAAGCTGCCTAGCGTTTCACGGTTGTTTTTATAAAATGTTTTTCTGCTGCTTTGTGGCGTTAGGGGGTTAAAGGTTGAAGCTTCCCCCTCATCTGGAATGTAAATTAACTGCATAGAAAAGGTCAGACCATTGTGTCCCCATAGAAAGCCCAGGCATTCATTACCACTCAATCAAGTGGTACGTGGAGAATGTGTGTTAACATTTCCTAACGATAAAAGTCTCCAATTCAAAATGCCTCTATGTCCAGTTAGTCGGGAAGTGTTTTCAAATCAATCTCTGGCACTTCTTAGTTAAAAATCGTGTACATTTCAGGACAATTTGTTTTTCCGCAGCTCACACTGAAAATCTTTGTCGACCTCTTGCTCTATCCCATTTAATGCCACCAATATTTACACAGTCACATTTTTGTGGAATATTTGCGGTAAAATGACACCAAAAACTGAATAAAACATGAGATTCAAGGGGTTTCAAGAGCACTTCAAACCCTCGGATAAGTTTCCCTTTAAGCAGCATTTTACTTTTTGGTTGTAACTGTCCGATTGTAGTGTACTGGCTACTGATTGTAAAATAGCTTTAATGCTGAAGAATATTTTGGTTGCGGTGAAACAGTTACGACATAAGCCGCTGTTGAGAATCTTATCTCTACGTACTGTAGGATAATCTGTTATCTACACACTCTCAAACCAATCAAACACATTAGCCTTCCACCTAGTCTCGCTTAAGATACAAATATGTGAAGACATGCTCAATTAAATCCCAGATCTTATTTTATCTGGCAGGGTTGGTTGGCTTTTTATGAAACGAAGCTGGGAATGAAATGAAGTGCTGAACTATGATGGCAAACTGCTGCAAAATTAGCAAAAATAAATCTGAATTTTCCTCCGTTTGGTACCTGTGCTTAATTTGCAGATTTTGTATTAAAGATTGTCCTAAAAGTATTCAAATTAAATCATGAGTGAATAACATTCCCTTGTCAGAGAGTAAAGGCCAATATCCTTTAAATGTATTTTCCCAAAGTTGTTAGTTGGCACTGCGCAGCGCCACCTCTATCTCCCAATTATCTTTCAGTTTACTGGTCCTCTCTCCCAATCAAAAGACTGCTCCCTTGCTTCCCTGCGGCCCAATAGGAATGGCTAGTGTCGTACAGTGGGCGGGCCCAGGGAGAGCATTTAGCTAACGAAAAGCTGCATCCCGTCTAATAACCTTTAGTTTTACTGTACAGAGTTGTATAGCTTTAAAGTCAGTTCATTTTCAGTCAATTTAGTAAAATTGAATTCTTAAATACAGTAAAACTTACAAATATATCACAAGGAAGTAATTCCACCTGTCTGGTGTCACGTTTAATAAATGTTCCTTTTCTTTCCCGTCCACAGTGAATGGCAAAATGTAAATTCTCTTCTTAGATTTAAGTGGATTTAACTGAAAATGAACTCACTCAGCAGCCAGTCAACACACAAGGAATGTGGATGAATAACAACTATACTTACAGAAAAAAAAGACACAATCATAAAAATTTGAAACAAAACGTTGTTGATTTGTTTTTACTGCGATAGATTAAGTTACAGCTCCCTACTTTTTTTCTTTTTATAATTGTTAGTGTTAAAATGTGATAACGTGACACGCCTGGTTCTTCATTTGACTGTGAAAGTGATTTTATGAGTAAGACTGTTTGATTTTGTTGAAAAACGAGCAGTTCTTACTTGTTATTGTTAAATATTTAAGTACTTTGTTACATTGTGTCCCTCTCCATTTACACCACAGTCAGTGAGGGAGGGAGCTGTAATTTAAAACAGAACTTTTTTTTTACTTTTTTCTAAGGAATGCACCAATTCCACTTTTCCACTGCTGATACAGTAAAAAAAGTACAAAGCTTTAGCGTCATATTTATTCCTTTTTAGAAAAAAAAATGATAAAGATATTTGTGATTGTCAGTACCTTTACATCTAAAAAAAAACTGGAAAACATACTTTGACTTTTGAGAAATAATCAATGCGTTCACTCATTTTTTGGTTATCGGTGCATCCCTTAAGCTTTTGAGTTTGAAATACATGACAGACACACTACCTCTCTTTTTGTAAAACAGTTAAAAGAAAAAAACACTATTTAAAAAAAATTAAAACACGCTACAAATGTTAAGCTAACAAAGTGGTTCTTTTTTTTGTTCCCTCGGAAGTTGTATTTTTTTTTCTTTTTTTCTCGTTTTGGGAGTGAGGGATTCAGATGCACCACAGAAATGTAAGAACGATGGACAGGGAAGAGGTGAGCGACTTCTCTCTGTTTGTCTCCTTTCTGTTTCTCCAGCTCTCCTCCTCTTCCTCCTCTTCAGTCAGTCAGGGTTGTCGTAGGGTGATGAAGGTCGCTCGACGTCAGCGGAGAAAACAGTCACGATGGGTCCTTCAGCTCTGGGAACACAGAGGGGGGGGGCAGTGAGCCGGGGCGGTGGGATGATGGCATTCAACATCAGTTTTCCGACTCAAAATATTTCCTTTGTGCTCCATCAGTCACTGCCTGCCTTCCTTAAATGTAATATTCCTTTTTCTTTCAAATCTTTTCATGTTTCATGATGGCTTTAGCAGCTTCATGTGTGGGATCATTTGTTCCTTCAGTTTTCGTAAATTAACCACTTTATGCACCCCACTTCTAAGATTACATTGTATTTTGGTGACATATTTGTGTTAATCATCTATAAATGATTAATTAGCATTTTTTGTAATCTTTTTTCTCTTTCGCCTTAATTTCTCTATTAGTATTTTTATTAATTTATTATTTCACATGTTTCAATATTTAATTCTCATGTGTTTTGTAAACAGATGTGTTTAACCAAAGTGACTTACAGCAGGTGCAATCAACAGTAAAGATACACAAAATCCTGAAAGTACATTTGCTTCAAATAAGCTTAATTATTTTAAGTAAAAAAAACTTTTTTGTTAGATTTGAATGACCAAGGTGCAGCGAAAACAGGTGAGTCTTAAATGTACAACAGAAAAAAATATATACTTTTTTCATTCCTGATATAAATGGAAAGTTCACTGCAACATTTTTGAGCAACACAAAGACCTCCAGCACTTTCACCGTGAATAATAATAATAATAATGCCTTACTACTATTATTATTATTACCTGCGTTCAGTCAATCCTCCTCAGCCAGCTCAGTTTCTTTATGAACCACCACTCTGGTAACAGACATGTCAGGATGCTGCTCTTTGGCCTCCTTAATAGCCTGGGCCAGTGCCTGCAGTACCGAGGGGTAACCACACAGAGGCAGCACCGAGCAGGGCGTGCAGTGGAGGATGTGATGGGGGGGGGAGGGGAGGAGGAGGGAAGGGTGGAAAAACGATGGAGTTAAATGAAAAATTAAATAAGAAGCATAAAGAAAAAGGACAAGAATGCTGGATTTACGATCGATGCGCTATTTCACTTCTTCGAGTTGAAGTAAAATGGCTTTGGACACATCAAGTGGAAATAAAATACTTTTGTATCTTATTTCCAAAAAATGTAAATCCAGCGTCTCAAATGAAACAGGCAACTTAAACAAAGCAGTGGATGAGGGATCATGCATAAAGATCCAGACCTGAGCTAAATACATTTATTTTGTCAAATATTCGAGATATATGTAGACATTGTATATTTGATTGGGTCTTTAAACTAACTTAGGGCAGGGTTTATCAATCTTCTTTTTCCTAAATGAGAAGGTCAGTGTGTACAGGGACAGTGTGTACAGGGTCAGTGTGTACAGGGTCAGTGTGTACAGGGACAGTGTGTACAGGGACAGTGTGTACAGGGACAGTGTGTACAGGGACAGTGTAACATCTTGTTGTTTAAAGAGTGTTTCCCCTTATATTGAATGAACATTGTGGGAGCTTTCGCCCATTTTCTTACAATTCGGTGACAAAGGGACTAATAGTTGGTTATTATTAGGGGAATTCACTCTAAGCTCATAATGATCTGTTATTTAAAATCCAACAGGACTTTGTACAGAGGTGTTCTGTATTTATTAAATCTAGGACAACATATAATCTGACAGACAATCTTAGACAAAGACACAAACGAGCAACACAATCAGACATGGGGTGGCCATTGTCCAGCAGTATGGATGAATACGTGATGAGAAGGATGCAGCGGATAATTGCATGTCGGCGTCTCTATTATGCGATTTATAAATCAAATGTAGCATTCAGACTATAAGCAACACGATGGACATGTCACCAGACCTCTCTTTGTTCATTTAACAGAAAGCTTTAGCTGATTTAGTAAAGAAACGAGATTGGGTTTCGCGACTGGAACACTAACCTGGTCGTGGTCGATGTCACAGTCTCCAGTGATGACGATGCGTTTCTCAATTCTCGTCTCTGATAAGCCGCCCTTTAACGTCTGCAACAAAATACACAACAACAATAAGCCTTTGATGTTTGGTAAAATTGGTTAATCCTCCCCTGGGGGATATAACAGGTCAAAACTATGGAAGCCCTGAGAGGCGCACGAGTCTGAATTAAAGTCCGAGTCTGAATACATTTCTGTTTATGAAAAATTGGGACTTCAAAATAAGGTAAAAGAGATTTTGCAAGGATAATCTTTTGAGGTTACGTTGTTTTCATCCAAAAAAATTGCCAGTTGTATTTTTTTGTCTGGATCCTTTTTAAGTGTTTGTTGTTGTAATACTTATTTTGGCCACAAGAGATAAAAGTGTACCACAACCAATTGTTTTTAAATAGGAATAAAAGTATACATCTTTAAGTCGTTTTTCATTTCTATTCTGTATATATTAGTGGGTTGGAAAGCTATTTCAATTCAAACATACCAGTAAGACAATGCTTTTAGTCTAAATTAGAAGATAGGATTGTTGTACCATGAATGAAATTAGTATTACAACACACACTTGATCCTGAAAACAACAAAGAAAACACCAAAACATGTTTTCCCACCTGTTTTTAAAATGAAATAAAAAGAGAAAAGAAAACTGTTAAATGATCCTATTTTTTCCCAACTGTTCTGAAGTCTTAAGCTTGTTTCTCAAACTTACCTACCCCACCTTTAAGCATGGGGGAGAACATTTCTTTTTTTCCCGCTCTTGCTTACCTTCCATACGAAGCAGAAAAGAGACCGAAAAACACAGAGGCGCAAGAATAATTGTGTGTGTCTGTGTGTGTACCTTGGTAATGTGTGTGGTTGTAGTAGTACACAGAGATTCAGAGGTGATTGTCTGAGCTGTCATCAGCACACCGGGCTCGCCATCGCCGTTACCATCCAACTGATAACAGAGGAGACAAAAAGAGATCATTAGCTGAACTTCAACAGAATATCCCTGTTGCTCCAAAGAAAGTTTTGTTCCAAACTAAAACATGATTTCCCTGAGGAAGAAGAAGTGAAATAACCACAGCATGCACTGTTTCTAGGAAGGAAGCTTTTTGGGGCGTGCTTTTTAAAACAAAAACATTTCAATAATGATACAATTTCACACAAATACAAGAATACTGACACACGAAAGGACACAAATAAACACAAAAACTCCCTTGTGTTTCTTAAATGTGCACCTGTGCGGCTTCGTATGTGATGGTCTTGGTTTCCGTGTGTACGATGGGAACTTCTTTTGTAGCTATCTCAGTTTTCTGGGCTGCAAACGTGTCTGATATAGTCACCATTTCTGTCTTTACCACAGGTGGCTAGGGAGGGACGAGAGAGAGAAGTGAGGGAGGAGTTAATACAAAGAGGGTCAATTAATACTGAGACAGTTAAGGAGACATAAAGACACATGTACTAGCACTAGCTTAGGAAATCACTTCCAAATCAATGTTTGAGGGTTTTTTTTTGGTAAAATATCGTAAAAGTGTAAATGTGTGATTTGTTAATGTCAAATAAAGTACTTATTGTACTGAAAGGGAAGTGATTCAGTTGTTCAGTGGTACATATAGCAGTAGTTGTAGATATATAAAACAGTTGAGTCAATGCAGCAAAACTCATGCAAGTTTTTTCAATCTTGTGCCACAACAAAACGCAGAATACGACAACGACTATTTCCAGCAATGCACAGGCGACAGCTACAACAGCAGCACACAACTACGACAACAGATTTGGCTTCGACTCAAAAGTACGACACGGCACAAACATGCATAAAACATGAGCCGGTAAGGTTTTTTGTTTTTTAAAAAGCCATGCTAATATAACAAGACGGGCAAACTGATGTTTAGACGGCATGCAAAAAAAGACATTCAGATGAGCGGGTGGCATTTCCTGAGTGGTTGGCAATGATGATTTCCACAATAGCGTTACCATGGTGACCATGACGAGCCAATTAAACACTCACAGAGAGAAGCATCACTGCCAAAACACGTGGAGGACACACACAAGTACACACACCAAAAAGTGGAATACGGCATGCAGAGTAAGTGTACACCTAAAAGCATCATGCAGGCCCCATTTACTTCACAACACTAACAAATACAGAGAAGGAGGAAGTTACACCACACTATGGTAATGTTGATAATGATGTGGAGTATGATGATGTCACAGAACTTATATGAATATGGGAAATCCACATAAAGACTGAAATTAACGGTGTAGTGGATGGTAACTTGACACCAACGCACAACAACAAAAACTCCTCAGTCGGTTTTAACTCTATAGGACAATCAGGAAGTGTAAGGATGTACATGGGGCTTTAATATTCACGCAAAAGCAGGAAGGAAACCGGCACTGTGGAAAGCAGGAAGGAGAAAGTTTCTACGGCTGGTAGGTTGGATGAAAGCCCAGAGGGGGGGGGGGGGGCTCTGCAGTCGGCAAAGTGAAGACTTTACCTCGGAGCAACAAATAACCAGCGGCCGGGGTTCTGCTTCTATCACAGAGGCTTCTCCGTTCATTTTCAGCTCTTCCTCTTCCTCCTCCTCCTCCTCCTCTTCTTCTTCTTCCGGGGCGAGACCACTTTCCTCCGGCAGGGTGTGACCGTTTGTAGCCTGTGTTGTGATTGGATCATCGTTGCTCTTAGCTTCTACTTCCTCCTCTACATTCTTCTTCTTCTTCTCGATCTCCTCTTCTTCTACTTCAGCGGGAAGGGAAGGACCATCTGGAACCGACACACCCTTTTCCTCCTCCTTCTTTTCCTCCTCCTTCTCTTCCTCCTCCTCCTCCTCTTCCTCCTCTGGTATTTGTGTGTGGCAGATAGACACGGAAACATTCGGATGGTACTCCGCTTCTTCCTCGCTCTCGCTTTCCGATGAAACGCTCTCCTGCTTCGCCTCTTTCGTTTCCACCGTTACGACTACTTCCTTTTCCACCGTCACTTCCTGTGGGCTCGTAACCGAGACGGGTCCAGGTTTGGGCGCTATGGAAACCTCTTGGACGACAACGGTTTCTTCGATTTCAACTTCGGCCGTCTATACACATGCATACACACACACACACACACACACACACACACACACACGTACACGAAGTGCACGGACACACGCAATGGAAGTGCACACACATACACAACAAACGCATGGGGACACAAAAATAAAATAAGCATAACAAGATCATTGAACATAAATAAAAAGATAAATAATACACAACGGAAATAAAAGAAGATGAAGATGTTCAACTGTGGATAAAGAGACACAAAGACAGTGAGCGGAACAGATATGAAGACAAATGAAAAGTCATAAATTGATGATTGTAGAGGCAGCATGGCATTTCAAGCTGCCAGGAGGAAATGGAGGAAAAGGATCGTGAATGGAAGGCTGGATGGATTAATACAAGTTAATTTAGGACCACCTTTGCAGGTTCTTTGGTTTCAGAGATCAAGTTTTCTGCGGCGGGGACATCTTCCAGTTGGGGCGCACTCTCCTGCGTGACAGAAAGTTACCATGACAACCATCAATCACACACACTGACCGTGACAAAGCATAGAATTTGTAACTTAGCCGTATAGAGTGCCACAGTGACGCGTCCTAAAACCCAGAAGTAAGTTAGCATTTTACCACGTCCGGTTCCTTCGACAAAAAGCAATGCAATTTCTCCATAGGATTTTGGAAAATAGCTCGAAATAAGGTCTGTGTTTGACACAAATTGAAGAGACAGATCACGTTTTGTTCTACGACATTAAATACATCAGCAGTGACCCCACTGGTGATTTTTGAAGAGTTTATGTGTCGATGGTTGTTAATATGTGGCTGAATAGGACTACAGAAGTTGTCGAGGCCGTTTTACGTCATTACACCAAACACGTAAAACACTCCAGCTAAGTTTGTTTTTCCCCCTGTTCTGCTTGAAAGCAAGTACCTGCCTCCTGCAAACTGTTCAAACAAACGCTTCAACTTGTACCATTTAGAATCTGTATGTTTGAATATGGATCTTAAAGTGGACCTATCATGCTATATTTGAATAATATAGTGTAGGACCATACCTATATAAGGCATATTTATACTTTTTTTTTTTCAAAATACCAAACAGATCATGCATTTTAGCCATGCCTCATTTTGCTCAATTTGACATTTTTTAGCTCTGTTTTTGCAAGGGCTGATTCTATGAGAACAGCGCCATCTACTGGCCTGGCATATGTACTACAGCGTCTCCAGCGCTTTCGAACGGCAATGGCCGTGGCTGTCTCCTCCTGATTGGTGGAGTTGGCCCGATAGCTGTAGCGCCACCGTCCTGACGTCAGGACAGTGTTCAAATCTGGATCAGTTTTTATCAGATCCGTTGCAGCCCCTTTTTTAGAGATTTGGGTATGGAGGAAAATAGAGAGGGTTGTATTTTCTGACACTTGGTGAGTTCCCTGGAACACCGGGGACACATATTCATGTATAAAAGACGTACAAAAGTGCATTTTGCATGATAGGTCCCCTTTAAGTTGGCGTGACGTTGAAGCAGCGACCCTGCTGTAGTTCGTTTATAGCATAACGTTAGCATTTTGCTTCTGGCGATTAGATTTACGATTAGAAAATTATAAAAGTAGGGTAGACGTGTGGATATTATCCGGCTGAACAAAGCGTGATCCGTCTCTTAAATGTGTGTCAACCACAGACCTTATTTCGAGCTATTTTCCAAAATCCTATGGAGAAATTGCATTGCTTTGTTGTCGAAGGAACCGGAAGGAGATAACTTCCGGGTTTTAGGACGCGTCACGGTGGCACTCTATAGCGATGCTTGCACAAGGGAGAAAGGGTTGAATATGTTAGTTGGATTCTCCATCTTTCATGCAAAGTGATCAATCGATGAGGAATCGGGTTTGCAGGCAGCAGGGATGAAAAGAGTTTAAGATGAGGAGAAGATAAGAAGATCCCTGGTAGGTTTAAAGAGAATATCCCATCAATTTGAAAGATAAAAGAGCCTTGTATTGAAGTCAGCAGTTTCTCTGAGATGAATGACCTTAGAAAACCTGGGATACTTAAATGAATTTAGTTCAAATCATGGACATTGTTTCTGTTCATGCCATCATCAGTTTGTCCATGTAGTTTTATATTTTTTGTACTTTTTAATCTTTTATTCAACCGATGTTACATGTAATGTAAGCGGTTTTGTGTGCCATTTAAAAAAAAGGAGAACACTGTGAATCTAATTTGATTTATTTTAAGCTTGGTGCAAACTACTGCTTCAATACTTGCTGATTTTGTAGCAAAAAGTATTAAAAATAAACCTGTTGTTCCTAAAGTAGCTGGTAAAGAAGATATTTATATTTAAATGGAGCGGATTTGCATTCAATCCACAAACAGAAGTACCACAACAAAACAAACAGGGGATGTCCTATCATCTGTTATATACTTTACATTAGATTTACCATGCCTATTATTCAGGATGAATGGTCTCTGTTACAAACCATTCATCCACCATCCACAGCAGGCGATATGGACAGCTTGCATGTATTTAGTGTTTGATGAACACAAGCATCTACAGTTAGATGGATTGACTTTCATCGACTGAACTGAAAGTAGAGTGACTCCTAAAGGTTCAGTGGCAGCACCTCAGTGGCAGCGAGTGTGGAAGTAGAGCCTGGGGTTATATCAGCATCTAGAGTGGGTTCAGGCGTACAGCAGGCAGGAGGAGCTGAACAATAGCCAGAGTGTCTACTGAGGAGTACAGAAGCTATCTCCTCCTCGAGACTCTACAGCAACACACAGCACGTAGAGAAGAAGAGAAGAAATGAAACTTTTGAGAGGAGACAGAGAAGAAATAAAGGAACACAAAGAGCAGCCATGCTTCACACCTCCGCCTCTAATACTGATTATATCAAGCAGAACAGATTAAGAGAGCAGATACCACATCATTGACAAAATAAAACAGTTGTACTGCAGGAATAAGATGTACAAAGTGAGTCCAGCTGAAACAAAATAAAGAAATGGAGCAAAGCGAGAGTTCCTCGAGAAGAAGAAACCCATATAGTGCATCAAGTGGAGAATGAGGTAAAAACAGGAGATGAAAACCGCAACAAAGCAAAAGCATCGAATGAAAATGCCCACTTAAGACTCAAGAAACTGACTTTGTTGTTTCTTTGCAACAGTTTTGCAGCACTGCAACGAAAACCTTCCACCAGACAAAAGTTTGAAAGTAAAAATGCCCCATGCTTCCTCTCGGACAGACACACCCAGACAGACGTACCACTTGCTGTTGCTGCTGAATACGTATCGTTGGAGCGGGGGAGGAGGTGAGACGGTTCTCCCACTGGTTGGGCTGAGGAGGAGAGGGAGGTGGCGCCTCCATAAAGGAGCGCTTTAGCTGGCTAATGCTCGCTTGGTGTTTCAGAACCTCGTCCGTGGTCTTATCATGGTCCTAATGAGGGGAGGGGGAGGAGGACAGGAGGGTGGGGTACAAGAGTGGAGAGTAAATAGGATGAGTATGGATACGTGAGGGATGGTAGGGGGAAAAAGATAACATTTTGGAATGTGGGATAGAGGTGGGGAGTGGAGGATCATGGGAAAGATGAGGGGAAAGGTCGAAGGAACAGAAACGAAATAGAGAAGAAAAATGACAAAAAGAGAGTATGATAAGTAAAGGTGGAAGTACAAAAAGGTTTTAAAAGAAAAGAAGGAAGAATGAATACAACAAAACAAATGTAAGGGAAGGAGGAAGGAGGAAAAGGGGGAGGAAGGAGGGAAGGATTAAACAAGAGAGGGAGGGGGACATTTGGTTCAACAGGTCATAGGAACATTAGTCTGTCAATCAGGAGGAGGAGGACATGGATGCCATGCCTCACTGGAGCCTTGTTTGCGGTTCAATCTTAAATCATGCATTTTCTCTATCTATATTTGGTTGAAATATGTGTGAATGTGGATTGAAATAAGCAGGCTGCAGTGAAACAGGGCCTCTCCATCGCTCTGAGGAACAGCAGTGCAGGCTGCAGAGCATGGAGCTGATAGTGGTGATGAAACTGCACTATTTCTTTCTCCTTCACTGCACTCCCATCTGACTCTTTATCCATATTTAGTCATTTAGCACATTCTCATTTATTAATATGGTTATTTTCTTTTTCCTCTCTCTTATATTTTCTGTCTTTCTGTCAGAGATCACAGGATACAATTAGACACCGTTGAAAATGTGCCGTTTTTGTCGCTTCATAAGTTGACTGATTGGACCAGAAATGAAGGAGATTTTTCTTCTTGAAACTAACTTGTTCTCTTTATACCGTAAATAAAATATGAGTCTCTCTTTCAACCCCTCAGCTTAGAATATCACTATCACTATCAGTCCCACGTTGCATAAATAAAGTATTGTTGTTTTAGTACAAACCAAGCATCACACAACGCTGGCAACCAATCACCAGAAACAAGGAAAGCTCCTGGTGTTTGTTAGCGAGGCAGCAGGGTTAGTCGGGGTTAGTCGCAGCTGCCTGGCAATAATCAAACTCTTTGAACAATCGAGGATTGGAACAAGATAAAAACAAAGCTCACAAAACATGCACGGAGCATGCATAGAGTCACGTTCACACAACGCCGACCCCACACACAGAGCAGCCATTGTGAACAGCTTGGGAAATGTCCTGGAGGAGAAGGACCGTACTGTTGTGTGGAAAGATACACATCAAATACATATTTGGCATTTCAGAGATTAAACACTGGAAATGCCTTTGGTTCACCGATTTCTGTACAAAACATCAGTGTGGGGAGAAAATATGGTTTGTATGGATTTCTTAAGATTTGTTAGAGCTTGAATGGCTGATATGGCTAACGTGCTACATTAGCTTTCATTATATCTGTGTTTCTGGCCACTCAAGCTCGATACACTATATAAGCAATAAAGTATCCTATATTTATATATTCTTTAATAGTAGGTTGGTTGATTACAGTAGATTCTAACTTATTCTATACATTTTATATTCTATAGATACTATGTTTTATTACATTTTTAACCTATATGCAATGCCTTGTTACATGCTGTCAATTAGGAATCAATAATATATATTTAATCTAGTCCAATTTAATCTAATATTTAAACTTTTTCTCCCTCAAAACTTTAGTAAAATATCTGGCTAGAGTATAAACATGTTGATTAGTACAGCTTTAAGTGACATTCGTTGCATATATAATTTATAACAATGTTTCCAGGCCCATGTGTTCAGAAAGGCTGCCATGTGAATTAGGACGATGAGCACTGAAACCACTTTAAACCAAAACAATTTCAATCATACCACAACAACAGGAAATAGCTGGCATTGAGTGTACACTTCCACACACATAAACACACGCAGGCATGCAACAGAGCCTGAGAGTGCGAGAGGGCAGCAGTCCTGTACAGTGTAGTACAGCACAGAGGGAGTTGTAGTTCTGATGGCGTCAGAGTACACAGAAACATGTAGTTCTTATATTCGGCCATCAGGCGACGCCAGTACCAACCTCCAACATTAAATTACTGTGCCTCACATAAATATTGTCCCCATGCACTCTGTTTGGACTCTGGAAGGCAGACATACAGCAAGAAATAATAAATGGAAAAATTAATTAAAAAATAGAAGTAAAATAAAATAAATTAAATGCATTTTGTTTTTACTCTATAAAAATAACAAAATCTGTAATAAAAAAAAAAAGTAAATAAAATTAATAAGAAAACAAAAAATAAATCATAATACAAAATATATAAAATGAAGTATACAACAAAAAAATGGAATACAAATAAAATGCGGTGACACAGCCAACATGTCTCAGACTGTGATGAAGGCTGGAAGATGGGTACAAGCACAAATTAACAACATTTTGGGGTTCATTGAATGTCATTATGCTCGCACTCGTACCCATGTTGACTCATGCAAAAATCCAAAACAACACCAACAGACATGTGTAGAAACCCACAAAACCGTGCATTCAGGAAAACCCCAAAACATAACAAACCACAAATATGAACCAGCAACCAAACAGAAAGTGGAAACCAAAAACCCACAGCAGAGCAACCGAAAGTGAGGATTTCTCACGTTCAGTGTTTACACTCAGACCCAATCTGGAAACAAAGGGTCTCATCTCAAACATATTTATAACTTTATATCATCGGTAGTCAATGTTACTTAGATATTTATTCGGTGCAAATTCCAGATTGGGTCGAGAAATAAAAAAAAACTGACTGTATGATCGTGTTAGATCACCGTAAAAGAGGCGTGAACCAAACCAACGCGTGCCGGGCAAATGATTGACAGACCAAAAGAATCAAACAACCAATAATAATGTGTGAACCTGAGAGGGGGCGGGCTCACTGGCTCCCAGTGACTGTTGATGGGGTGAAGTAAGGGAGAGAGGAAGGACAGGTTACACTATAACCACCTTTACAATACTCCTTAGTAATTCATTCCTATGTTTAATTCTCGATATTTTGCAAAGCATGCTGGGTAAAGTCGGACCCTACAGACCTGGGTGGGCGTGGCTTCCGCATCACCAGGGCTTAAGTCCACCTCCATAACCTTTAATGTTGCGGCGAACGGCAGTCATGAGACAATGAGCAGGGTAATGGGGCACGGAGAAAGAAAAAGGTGAAATGGATGATGGGAAACGTTTCTTCCCTTTAGCAGCTGTAGGGAGGTCATGTGACCTTTGCCCCAGTAACATGAAAAAAGTCTGAGATGGTCAATAAATGAATTTCCTCATCGTATAATACAAAATAGATTCGCAGTCCGTCATACATGACACAAAGTTCAGCTTTTTCAAGTACAATTCTATCAATACTTTAGAGATAGTATGTGTATTTATGACACAAACGCTACTTTGTAGTCAAATTATTCTGATATTATTTAGAACTGTCTTATGATAATGTGTCCGTTTTATCTGCATCTACAGCTTTATCGAGCAGGAAAAAGACAAAAGGCCACCATGAAAATGCCAATACATTTTGACTTAAAACTAAGCGAACAACGTATGGGGGTTAGAGAGGGACCTTAGGGATCAGGACGAGTGTAACACTGTTTACTCTTAACATTTATTCGCAATAATATACAAATGAATAAGCTTTAAGTGCTCCGCCTTGATGTAGTACTGTAACGAACTGTATGTACAGTTATATCATGTATTCTACAAAGGCAAAATGCAGCAATGCACGTTTCTCGCTTGATTATCTTGCATCATACCCATTTACACCACGATGTTGCTTTATTTGAAGAGCATGACATTAATATTCTGCGTGTCAAACACATAGGGGATGTATAATGACTATTTTAAAAGATCTGAAACACGTTAAGCATTTGAAATAACTCGTAAAGTGTGTTTTGTGCATCGCTAAAAGTCTCTGTACAGTTTTTAGATAACTTAATAAGCCTACTATAACTCTTCTCTACTTTATTCCTTATATATACTTTAACATTGTTTATCCTTTATAAACTCTGAGTTTTATACTTTGTTTAATATAACTGGTTCTAATCTTTATTATAAACAATACAGTGGCAGGGTGCAGGGATGGTAAGCGATAAGAAAATATTCAGGGGAAGAAGGGGGTGGTGACGAGAATGATTGTAGAGATAAGAGTTTAAACATTTATAAATAGTAAACGGAGAGGGGAAAGGATTTGTCGGGGGGTTTCTGTTCATCTATGCGGCGGGATCGCACATCTCTTGCGTCCTGGTAGCGCTCGTGTGGTGCCTGATGCGCGGAGGTGTGTGTGTCGGCGTGAGAGGAAAGCTTAGCGGATGCTCGGACTGATCGTTTTCCGTTTCAGGGTTAAAAGTTGGCAAAACTGCCTTTCGCTGACTGGACACAAGGTTCTCTAGGTAACACAGGGTCAGGCCGAGGGGTGTGGCTAAAACTAAGGCTAGGACTAAAGACTGGCTCGCTGTTAGCATCACGACCAACAGGAAGACGACGAGCAGGCAGGGCAAGAAGAGAGGGGAAGGATTTAGGAGGTAGCGATGGATGGACGGGGATACATTGGAGCAGGAGAAGGAGGAAAGAGATGGAACAGAAAATAAATAAGAGGGAAGAGAGGAAAGCGCGGGGAGGGAGGATAAGGAAGAGGCAATTGGAGGACAGGAAAGAGAAGAAATGGAGGGCAGGTGCAGTCGTTTTGGCCGCCAAAGAACAGCAGGAACCAAGCTAGTAGCTTTAGCCGGCAGATAGCTTGTTAGGAACGCCCAGAAACTGGTCCAATTTAGAACCAAACCATTACGAATTTGGCGTAAACTGGGAGTGACGATATCTCTAGGAGTGAGTTTTAGGGTTAAAAAGCGTATTTTCTTCGTTAATCCTGAAATGAGCTTTTTGAGCAGAAACCTGTTGCCATTTTTCCCCTCGATGGAGAGAAAACACAGGACGAAAGAGACATATTTAACGACACCCCTGAGGGAGAACCAGCTGCACCAATTTGTAAATGGAGGTTTAGTTTCAGCCAGACAGCCTTCCTCAACGCAGGAAACCTCGGACATGATCGTTTGGGAGCTTCTAGGGGAGGCCGGAGGGTTTAGTGCGAGATCGGCAGACTGTTGATCGGAGAAAAGAGAGAAGGTGTTCGAGGGGAGAGCCCACAGCGAGTGAGACGCTGTGAGGTCGTCGGTAAGGTCGTCGTCTTCGGAAATGTCGGAAAGGCCGCGGTCGAACTCGGAGATGGTGTCGAGGGAAGGGGGGAGGGACGAGAGGGAGGATGACGAGGAGAAAGAGAGAGGGAACATGAAGATGGACTGATGGGGGCGGATTGCAGGAGAGAAGAGGGAGAGGAAGAAAGAAAGGGAAGAAGAGGAAACAGTGGAGCAGTGCACACACATCCAGAGTGTATCAGCAAGCAGTGAAGAAGTTCAACCAAAACAACCGACGCATGTTCAGAACATCATTTCATTGTATCATGAAATGACATCAATGACAGCATGCAAAGGGAAAGTGAAATAAACAAAAGAAAGGGTGTGATTGAAAAAAGAGAGAGGGAAAGAGACATAACATTAGTCAGTGAACACCAAGAACAGGTTCAAGTGAACATAGCAGGGCGGAGAACAGTGTGCAGAAACAGTGTCACTACTGGAAAAAGGCTAAGACAGAGGTCAGCTCCACAGTGCCGGGTGAGAGCAGGGAGGAAAGGGAAAGAGGGGGGGAGGGGTTGGAACAGGACGCATGCATAATATATACACTTTATACTGTATGTACCAAGTAGTGGGCATAAATCCCTGTTGAGGTACAGAACATCCCTCAGTTATTAGCTCCAGAAAATGTCAACGTGGTGTACACCTGCCTATAATAACTGCTGTCAAATGAGGTTAACATCCGAAGGAAGATGTTCAAATGAAGATAATCATATTTATCTGGGAAGATTCAATTGAAGACGTGAACATTTCTCTGTGAGTGTTGTTGGTCTGTGTTGCCGATTTCTCTCGCTAAAATGTTTACAGCATAAAGGGAGACCCTACAGGCAACACATTGTTACATTTGGAGAACAATGAGAGCATTTTGCGACTATTGGATAGAAAAACTTAAACATTCAAATGTAAAACAAAGAGATTTTTGAAAATCTGTTAGAAACCTCTAATATGTCAAGAAAATGAACAAAAATGTATTAAATGCTTTTATCTAATATTAAAATGTAGTCCTGAATATGTATGCAAATTAATAAGACCATGTATGCCTAATTTGCATATTCAAATAACATTTAACAATTACTTGCAACAAAATAAAGCATTGTCTTCATGTAGGTTATCAACTTGGGAAGTTTCATGGTTCGTCTATTATTTAAAATATTTGACACATTCCCCTTAATGGGGGAAATGTTAGAAACCTCGTGGTCCCAGAGGAGGCAAAGTTAAGTATCTAAATGTGTTACCACTTATAACAATATAAATGTAGTCACCCAGGAAAAAGGCATGACAAATATAATGTTGATTTGAACACACTCCTGGATGCTAAATGTATCAGGATTCTTCTATAAACACTAGGATGGGCAAAAAAAGGGTCCCATCTAGAGACATGGGGTTTTCCCATCACCCACAGTCATGAAATGTCTCTCTCTGTAACGCAAACATATAAACAGTTCCCGGGGGGATACAGCCCCCCATCTATAGTATAATGACAACAAGGAAACATGACTTGCTGTAAAAACATTAATAAATACTTTTTTTGCATTCTTTCTTTTTCGACACACGGAAATGCATATCTACACAGGATGAAATCATCACACACACTCACACACACACACCTTAGAGTCAGAGTGGAGATCCAGGTGGGGATCATGTCCATTCTCAGATGTGGCTTCAGTAATGCTGATCCTTGGTGCTGAAAAATGAGAAACAAGAAAAAACCTTGATTATTTAACTTCATTATTAAACCCTTTTCCACTGGCAGCTGCTGTATGTACTTGTTCAGATCAAGATCTGGTTGTTTTACAACTGGAACTACGTTTTGTTTTTTCTAAACATGAGTGAGATTGAGCATTGTACAAAGTAGATATTTGGTATAGAAAAAAAATACTTAATTTGATTTATAAAAAACAATAAGAAAGATGTTGGCTTGCAGTGGAATAATGTGTCCAGCAGGGGGCGATGTAAGATCGTTAAGTAACCGCACAGATGTGAAACAGCAGTGCACAGCTGCATCAAGTGGGCTCTTTAGGCCAAACAAATAACGAAGAAACAGTGCACCTTCAACCAAAGACATTCAAATATGTATTTGATATGAATTATTTAAATATTTAATCAGCAACGATCTTATTCAGGTGTTCATCCATGTGCATTATTAAATGTTATCACTGCTAAGCTTTCTCTCTCCACCATGACATGTGTGTGACCCGAGAGTGACTTCATGCTCTATTTCTTTCATTTTTTTTTCCCTTTAAAAAGATACACAAAACATTCTTTCTTTCCATCTCTTTCTCTCGCCCCTCTGTCTCTCACCGTGTGACAGGAAACATATGCTGCAGCTATTTCCTGTATCTGGTCAGACACTAGCGTTTTACATCCAAACACACACAGAAACACACGCACACACACACACACACACACACACAGCAAACCCACCATCCACGCCCCCACTTCCATCTGCCTGTCATTCCTTCCACTAAATCTTTTTCGTGTGTCTGTCCATTCATTTAAATAGTTCAGAGTGAAGCTGTAATGCCATGTTTCTGTTACCTCCATCCAGACTGCGGCTGCTGCGTTTGGACGCGGTGCGTTCGAAGCAGGGTTCGGGGCGGTCTATGAGGGAGCTGGCCACGCGGGTCTGGGCCTGGGTCCGCCCGCTGTAACGGAACTTGGAGCCCAGGGTCAAGAAGCGGGCCTTGGCAGGGGGCTCGGGTGCGTTCAATCTACAGACAGACAGAGAGAGAAGGAGGAAGGGATGGGAGAAAAGGAGAGAGGAGAGTGAATTTAAAAAAAGGCACAGTAGTAGTAGGATGAGACCTAAAGAAACCATGTATAGACTAGTCACAAAAATGATCTCTCCGGCTGCCACATAGCTCACTGGTAGAGATGGATGTCCATGTACAGACTTGAATCCGGCCTGCAGTCCTTTTACACATGTGATGCCCTCTATCTCCCCCATCCATATCGATCTCTCTCTAATAAAAGCTTAACTAGAAGTGTGAGGCAGGATTTTTCTTCTTTTGCTTAGTTAAAAAAGTAGGTCTAAACCTCTATAAGAACACAGCAAGCTGTTGCTATATCGTAAGCAGAGGAAACTACAAACATATTGGCAAAATTACTGAGAAAAACACAAAAGATTTTCCCAGTGGCGAGAAACTTAAAGCAAGGATTGTGATCTTGAGGGATTAGCAAGAGGAGGGTACATTTAGAAATAACCCAAAATAGCCATAACTAATCTGTTGAAAATATTGCAAACTTGGCAAAACTGACTCTTTAGGCCTTCCTCCAACGCCACTCCCCCAAAATAATCATTATTAATGACAACAAACAAACATGGCTAATATAAGTACTCATAGCTATCAAGCTGGCAGCGTGGGAAGAAATAATTGCACGGGAAGATTGCACGCAGGTAGACAGACAGGTAGGTTGAAGGATGACATGATTGGACGGTTAATATTTTTGTCAGAGTGTAAAGACAGTTTAAACAAATAGAACAAAATAATTGTTTATAGGTTACCACCCATAGCTTACACCTGGGTCAAAGGAGGAAGGGCCAACAGTAAGAGTGTTTACAAAAAGCAACTAATAAATCGGAATCATTTTGTTTTCAAAACGTTTTGTTATGTAACTACATGTGCAGTAGAGGGAAACAACATGTTTGCGACTCTTCAACAGGATATTAAAGCTTATCCCTCTTCTCTCCTGCACACACAGACACACACACACACTCGCGGCGACTACAAACGCAACATTGATGAGCACCTGGTTGGTCTTTTGTGTGTGTGTGTGTGAGTGTGTATGCATCGCCCCAGGCATCAGACTGGTTAAACAACCACGAGATACACGCTCTGGACTTCTTTTCTGGAAGGAGAGGCAGCCTTTTGTTGAGCCTGATAAAGCACACATTCCTTTATTGAACGCTACCCAACAAGCCGTTTCAATATCCTCAACTCCAGACAGGCAGTCTCTGAAACCCACGTGCATTCACAGGACGTGTGTGTGTGTGTGTGTGTGTAACAGAGTGTGTGTTTGTACCTGAAGAAGCTGTGATTCTCCACACAGACTTTCCACAGCCTTTTGGCAGAGCGGTGATTCTGGAGTTTGAATCCCACCGTGCTCTCAAACTGCTCCGTCTGTCAAAGGAACATGAAACGGGGTTAATACAGACATCGGAAAAATGAAGTTCAAAGACTAACGAGTACTTTGTAAAGCACTATGTTTTCACTCAGAGTTCACACAATATAACTTTTTACTAAACATACATTAATAGGTGATCGATATCCTTCTTTCTTAAATCTAGCTATGTACGTTTTGAATTAGCCTATTTTGAGGTTATATAAAATAATATATATATATATATAATAAAAGAGGCTATTTTTAGGGGATTCCAGAACTAGATTTGTTCCCTTAAAATGTAAGTACAACAGAAAATATGTCATTTTATCCACCGCAAAAGAAACTCACGCTTCGTGCAGTACAGAATTATTTTGTGTAGGACCGAGTAAATCTAAGTATGTTGTGTTGTTTTGACTTAAGTCAGAGGGCCAGCTAGGTTTCTCTCCTGGAATTTAAGATTGTTAGTCACATTTAGTTTTAGTTTTCAGAAATGTTTACACCAAATCTTTCAGATGGAACAAATAACAGACACTTTGAGGATGTTTGGGTCCCGCCATAACGGTGCTGATCCAGTGAGTTGATTCTTCCACATCTTCTGAACCATCCCAGTGTCTCAACCTCCTGACCAAGGTATATCCTAACTTTTGTTTAACTTAGTGCTTTTTAATGCATGTAACACATGTAACATTAAGCTGTCAGTGGCTCTTTTTCTGCTGTAACAACGTACATTTCCCCTCTGTGGGACTAATAAAGGTATTCTAATTCTGAAGATCCCCCCCCCCCCCCCCACCCCTTTTATTTTTGTATTAAATGTTCTTTTATCTTATTTTCTTTTTCATATCTACCTTTTGGGATATTTTTCGACTTATTTATTTATTTCAATTGGTATTATATACTTTCATGTCTTTCTTTCATAAATGGAGCTGAATGAAAATGGAGAAAAACTTAGAAACCATTGCCCATTAAGGACAACACAAACCTACAAATATTTGTGCGAAAACCAAAATACGTATATTCAAGACTCTCCAAAGCACCAAGAATCCAATAGTTAACACAATGAATATCAAACTCAAATTTCTCCTATGGGTTTTTCATTTCACACTTTTTGTGTTTGGTCCAGGTCATTTTGTCGTGTAGAAAACATGTGCAGGAGTCTCTGAGCACATACCTCTCCTGGTCTGATCTTAATGTAGAAGTTGTTCCTCTTGTATGAAATCTTGAGGATTTTGGGCCAGGCGAATCGGTTTATCCGCAGCCTGTCTTTGTAAACCAGGAGTCCGTTAGCGCACACACCTAGCATGATGTCCACGCCCTCAGAATCCTGTAGGAATCAAAAACACACATTATATCATGAAATAGTTCATGAATCCCTGTGAAACATGTGTGTGTGCCACCTGCTTTTCTATATCAGATCATGCTGCACACAGATTGATTTTTAAAGTAGTCTGCTTAAGCTCAACAGGAGCTCAATTAGCACACACACACAACATTCAGTACAACTCTAACATGGTTACAGACAGACTAACTCACTGACAAAGCTTTTAAGTCCAAGGCCGTGTGGTAATGGTATTGATTACAGTAGTGCATGCACACAGGGAAAATCTGTTGGGACTAATGGAGGAAGTTGATAATGGCCAGTTTGACCGAGACACATAAACACATCACATGGCCTTCACATGCTGTCAGCGGCTCATCGATCGCTGCCATGGAACATATACATGTTAGCACTTTGGCACAGACAGAATGGAAATCAAATTGACCACTTGCTTTTTGTGAGTAAATAAGGACTGCACAGTTACTTCACAGTCTGTCCTCAACTCTTTATATATTTACTTGCCAGCTATGGTGTAACAATCTAAATTGACATAAATGAATAAATATTGATAAATAGTATTAAAAACTGAACTGAAATATGAAACATCCACCCTAGAATATTTGCAGATAGCATGGCTTGAGTTTTCAGTGCAGTCATTTTCTGTAATAAAGACAGTGAAAAGATTTGTTTCACTAATGCACATATTGTTATAAGGTAAAAAAAAAATGTATTGTATTTGTACAGCGCTTTATCTAGTCTTTACGACTTCTCAAAGCGCTTTACATTTACAACTCATCATTCCCCCATCAACCTGATTCATACATTTAAATCGAGATAAATTGAACCAGCAAAACCAATATTTTGAAAAAAATGTTGGTTGAAACACACATTTTATGATGACCAATGTTACTTTCCGATGTGTCGTAATGTGATTGAACCGGTTCAGAATGGGGCCAATTTCAGTTTTTTTATTTGAATTAAACATATCGAAGTGCATTAGTGTTTGTTTCAATATGATTGATAATTTAGTATGACATATAGCGTTTGAAAGGGTTCATCTGTGGGTCTTGGCGTCATGAAACTTGCAAAAACACAAATTGATGACACGGGACAGAAATAGCTCTGCCCCCTGAATTCCCACAACTTTGCTTTGCCAGAAAAAAGATTTGCAACATTGGAAACGCTGTCTGTGCTGCTCTCATTTCCCCCCCCGGTTGTCCCTCTGTGTTGCAAACAAGTGGAGCATGCTCTTAAAGGGCACTCGCCTCTTTCTTTCTTTCAAGGATCTGTCCCCATGTTATGTCTTTGTCTCCTCTGCATCCTCCGCCTCACATCCTCTCCTTCTATTTTCAGAGTCTCCCCCTCTCTCTCTTCTCATGCATATTTCCCCCATTTTTCAGACACAAAAATACTCAGACGCACATGGAAACATGCACACACTCTGCTGATGACCTGCTATCCCAGTGAGAGAGAGACTGGCTGTTCCCATGGCAATGGCCTCCATGTTTGTACAGCTGACACGCACATACACTCACACACAGATGCAGTGACACGAACATGCAGACACACTCTTTCGACATCAAAGAAATGGTGCTACTCCCCTGATGTACTAATGGAGGGGAGAGGAGAGGTGAGGAAAGGACAAGGAAAGGACAAGAAGAGGAGAGGAAGAACAGTAGGAGAGATAGATGAGAGAAGAGGAACAGGCAGAGAAGCAGGTCAAAAAGATGAGAAGAAGATGAGAGGAGCAAAAGATGAGGAAATATGAGGGGTGAAAGGAGAAGAGAAAAGGAGGAGGACAAGAGAGGTAAAAGAGGAGATGGGGGGAAGAAGAGGAAAGGAGAGGAAAAGGAGGAAGGTCAGAGGATATCAAGAGGAAAAGAAGAGGAAAAGATAGGAGAAGAAAGTAAAACCTAAATGGAGGGTAAGAAAAAAAAGGAAAAGAGATAAGAGATGGAGGAGAAGCGAAGGAGAGAAAAAACATAGCAGGAGGAGAGGAGGAAAAGGAGATGGTATGTATTTCTTCAAACCTTAGCATGGTGCAGGTCCACCCCGTACATGGAAAGCTTCTTGGCATTTTCCAAAAACTGGATGTCTGCTAGTGCCGGTGTCATTCCCCTAAACACCCAGACAAAAAGCAAATGACTATAAACACCCAAACATTTACAATAGTATGGTAGCTTAAATCCATACATTTGGAATATATGGAACAGGGACATAACCGAGTCATGGTCCATTTACTACAATAAGGAAACGATGTACAGCTTTAAAATAACACACAAAAAACATACATCCTTGTCCCGGTCTACTTTCGACAACCTGTATCTCTGACCTGTGAGACTTGTGGAGTTCAAGAATCTTCTCCTCCATCTCTTTGTTCTGATTGGGCGCAAAGGTCAGCTGACCGACGTTGTCCAGAGGCAGAGGCTGGTCGGGTTCATAGTCACCGGCTTCTGCCTGAAAAACCAAAAGGAGGCGGTAAAATAATACTTACTGACACCTAAAACGATACAATGATATTTGCAGTTCAGAAGAAGGGCGTTGGGGTCATAGCCAGTGTTGTGGGCAAGCCATTACATGTTATTATGGTATGTTGATTCACAGAGTTTGAGCAGATTTTTAAGATTGTAGGTAAACCCTTTGAAAACATGTGGAAACTTGTATCCATACACGATGTATTGTACCTGCAGTGTGTACGACCCCAGCAGAGCGTGAGTGACAAAGGAGCAAGGCAGTCGTCCTGAAGCCACATCTTCACGGAGCTGCAGACACAACAGGTACCTGCATGAGAGGAAAGAAGGGAATCAGGCTGGGTTTAAGTCTAATCAAAAACTCTAATCCAGTCTTTGGACTGAAACCGGCTCCATTGTTCGTGATAATGATAAAAAGATCAGCCAAATTTCCTCCTGTGAGGCCCGAGCAGACGGGGTCAGCTGGTGCAGATTAAATGTCTTTGTTGGTGCCGTGTCTGTTGTAGGATTTATTTTAGTTTGCTGGTACACTGGTTTGTTGGTATAACTTTGCGTCTAATCCTCGCCATGACATGCCCAAACTCGTAACGTGCAGTTAGTGAATTGTCCGGCACTGTGAGCTGCCCCCCTACAGTACAACCTCTGTGGAAGAGTTCATTATGTGAATAGAGTTTCTGTGTGAATGAGTGATTCAGACACCTCAGGGTGCTGGTAAATGAGTCTGAAAATCTCATTCAAAGTCACCTTGGCGGGACTTGCTGATATGGAGGCTTTAACACCAGTCATCCAAATACAGGGCTTCTTTATACTTAGTAATATGTGGCCTCAGGACTTTAACCCATCATGTTAATATGGTGTAAAACATATTGATTCTTTAATATGATAATGTACAATTACAAAGCCTGTAGCAAACCCTGTGAAAAGAGACATTGAATGGGGCCATAAAATGTTTTTTCGGCTTTCCCATCGTATGTTTTAAAGTTTTTTTTGTATGTAAATGGTCTGCAACGGCTAAAATCCAAAAGTTTCTCATGCCTGAAACACTTTGTTACAGAATAAATCTAAGGATTACAATCAAAGTGACATCACTATGTAACACACCATTTATTTTGGCTAGCGATCAAACACATTGTATGTGATAGGCCAAGGGGCGGCACATCTCTAAGCAGTTGACCAATCATACCAGAAGCATTAAAGCATGGAACCACAAATAGGAACCTGAAAATGAGCGTAATACGGCCCCTTTAAATAAAAGTGTATTGAAAAAACACTCTAGGTGAGTGTATGCGATTTAGTGAGTGTGTGTCCTCAATTAGCCTTCAGCCACAACCATCAGAGAAAATGTTCGCCCCATTAGCCGAACACTCCAACCTAAATGCTGAGTGCCCTGAGCATGCCCAGGTTTGTGTGTGTGCATTTAAATGTACAAATATAAATGAATTAGCAATGTGCGCCATGCCAACTTGTGTTTTTCTTAACTTTTGCTATAGGCCTTATAAAACATTTTCAAAGTGACATTTTAATGCTGCAGCTAAAGATTTAGTAAAGACCATAAAAGGAGCTGAAAGAAAAAGTGTATGTTGGACTTAAAATCACCAGGTAGACAGGAAACAGAACTCCAAATAAATGTTACTCCGTGTCTGCTGAATGTCTAAATAGAACTGTCTGCTAAAGAATTCACTTAAAAAGGGTTTTCCTTTTTTTCTTTACATTGTCTCATAAGAAACTACTTATGTAGCTTTAGGGAAAAGGTGGTACAAATCTAAGATGGGCGTGTGTGTGTGTGTGTGTGTATGTGTATGTGTATGTGTGTGTGTGTGTGTGTGTGTGTGTGTGTGTGTGTGTGTGTGTGTGTGTGTGTGTGTGTGTACCTGGTAATGTCTTCAGTGAGCAGTGAGGGGTCGGGGGGGTAAAACTTGACGTTGAATGCAAACTGCCAGTTGTTACCTGGAGGAAGAGAGATTATTAATTAGATTATTGATTTACAGCACAGCATCATTACTTATTTAAAAAGTACAATGGAAGTAAGTATATATGAGAACAAGAAAGACAGTGTAAAATGGTAAACCCAGCATTACGTTTTATATTTGTATTTCTATGCTAATCCATCCATTCATCCCTCTGCCCATATCAGCGGTGTGTGTGTGTGTGTGTGTGTGTGTGTGTGTGTGTGTGTGTGTGTGTGTGTGTGTGTGTGTGCGTGTGAGTGTGTGTGTGAAAGTGTGAAAGTGTGTGTGAGTGAGGGCAGCTAATGCAAAACAGCTTTTAGATAGTGCTAAGCCTGGTCCATCACACACACATATACACACAAAAATACAGCAGCAGATCAAAACTGGTATTGCATAACCTCATTCTGTCTTTATCTTAAAAAAATAAATAACATAATCTCCATCATCATCATAAACAAAAGTCTCCCCCCCCCTTCTTTCTGCGTCCCTCTGCCTAACAACAACACACACATGTACCAATGCATGCCCACACACTCAATATAATAATAGTCATGTGTAAAATTCCGTCAGGGGGAAGCTGCCATCACATCGAGACCATTTCATCCTCCAAGGAGAGACACACACACACACACACACACACACACACACACACACACACACACACACACACACACACACACACACACACACACACACACACACACACACACACACACACACACACACACACACACACACACACACACACACACACACACACACACACACACACACACACACACACACACACACACACACACACACACACACACACACACACACACACACACACACACACACACACACACACACACACACACACACACACACACACACACACACACACACACACACACACACACACACACACACACACACACACACACACACAGTTTGGCTTTATTAATACAAAATGTCACTTTATTGAATAAATGCTCGCATTTTGCCTTTCAAAAACATCATTTTTAACTGACTGGATAGTGGTGGTCTAATGGATAGTGAGGTGGGCTGAAGATCGGAAGGTTGTGAGTTCAAATCCCGCCAGGACCACCACCACTAGTGTGCCCTTGAGTAAGGCACTTAGTCCTTAGTTACTCCAGGGAGAATGTCCCTGTAATTGTAAGTCATTTTGGATAAAAAGCGTCAGCTAAATGTAATGTAATGTAACAGCGGTCAAAAAGTGATCCTATATCTGCTGGCTGTACACAAAACAAAGCACTCATCTGGTAAAACTGGGCAGTAAAGTGCCAATCTCACAGCACCATAAATACATATTATATTTCTTTTTTTATTCCTTCATTTTTTAGGCTGATGACATTTAAAGCTTCATTCTAACAGATGGTTCAAATGAAAACCCTTGGTACAGCACTATTCCATTTCATGCTAATAAAACATATTTTATTATCACGTATTCTTTCCACAGATTCCATTTTAGTCTCTTAACGTACAGAAATGGAAAATATCGAGTGCGTCTGGGTGTATGGATGTGTGTCGGTGTGTGGGAGTGAATTGAGTTTGTATGTTTTGTTGGCAGCGTTAAGTGCTTTGTGAGTCTCTCCTGTCCGTTATCTTCCTCCACAACCACGTGCCGCCCATCAATACTCCCCATGACGCATAGAATACACACATGCTATCCCTCCCCCCCCCCCTCCTACATCCACTACTCTCTTCCTGGCAACAATTCATCCTGTGTCATCCACAGGTCGTTCCCACTCAGGCTTCTTTGGGTTACTTTCAAAATAGATTCTGCGTATGTTTGAGTATATTGACAACTTGTCACAGAAAATAGAGGAACACTGTTTTGTTGAAAATGGTATTGCACAGAAATTAAATAATCTGTAGGAAGTACGATGTAAAACAGAAAAGATTATTTGAAAACGGATTTTACTGGACATCAAACTTTTTCTGTTGGGTTTATATCCAGAGAAGGACTGCATTGTTTGGAAATAGGTTAACAGTCCAAGCAGTATTATTAGTTACGACTGATATTATCAAGCCTTCCCTTAAAAATAATATCTAACATATTACATTCAAGCCAGCATATATTTGAGAATATACGGAGGTCGGAGGCCATTTATATTTATGTGAATTTCTGGATTTAACTGACAATCAAATGGGCAACCAATTGCAGTGACAATGCACTTTGCAAGCTTGTTTATATTTTATTATAAACATATTATATTTTCAATCTTTAACGATTATTATATTCCATTAAAATAGTCCACTATGAACCCAATTACCATTTGTAATACAGATTTAGCATTTGTGATTTGATCTAACTTTTTGTGGGTCCCCCTTTGTAAGTGAATGCAGCAACTCTGATTCGTGGTACATGTATATCATATGAATGTAAAAGGCTGTAGTTTATATTCTTACAAATGTAAAGAAAAATGTATACCTTGCAAAAAATATAGGATTTTAGTGAAGCACACTTTCACTTATGATCCTATACTTTAGACGGTTGCTGTTTGCTTTTATAACTGAATTGGCTGCTAAAGTACTTCCTGTATGAGCACAGTAAGACACCAAACACCATAAAGGTTGGCTGTGGAGAGTAAATGCGCGCTGCTGTTAAACATTAACAACAGACACACGCACTGGACTAAATCCAGAGTCTCCAGCCTTTCTGCTCGGCTGCCAGGGACTGTCAGCCCGACTCAGAGAGCGAGAGGAAATCTTGTTCTCATTATCCGTCAAAGTGACATCTTAGAAGGGGCTCACTGGCTGGGATTAATATTTGACTGCTCTGAATGTTTTTTGTGTTACAATGGATTTGACTTCAGACAGCTCAGATTTGTGGGTTCAAGTTTCTTGGAAGCAAGTTTTTCTCTCTTATTTTTCCAATTTCTTTTTCAAGTTGTATTCGTTTTTCCTTCATCCTCTCTCTATTTAGCTCATGTATTTTCCTTGGATCAAACCTAAGTTTTACATGATTTTTCTCTATTGTTTGACCTAATGCTCAAGTCATGATTCCACAGACACAAACAACAGACACACCCACAAAGTGTTGGTCATGATAATGTGAATTGTGGGAAGGAGTCTAACCAAACAACAAACCCTGTAGACTGACTTTTTTTTCATTTGTCAGTCCACCAAAATGACAATTTCGGAAAGCTCTCTTTTAAATCCTTACATCATAAGGTTTAAGGCTTGCACGTGGTACAGCTTAAAATAGTTCCAAAAATGAAACAAGGACCCAAAAAAACCAACTGTTTAGGTCCCAGCTGGGTATGTAGTGACGTAGCTTGGCGACTGCTGGGTGTAAACCGATGGTAGTTTAGAGCAGATTGGCGTCAAACCTGTCATTTGTGTGGTGCTGTGTCTGTACACACACGGGCACAAATATACAACTCGCATGATACAGCCGTTCAGTATAAACACACACACACACAGAAAAATGCACACAAATGAAGGCCAGTTGCATATCGCTGATCCACAAACCACAGGCACACACAGTGAAACAGCCACAAGCCAATGAGGCATGCATGTTCACCACACGCTCACACACACACAGCCAACTACCTCACATACACTCATTCAAAAATAACACTTTATGAGCCAAAAGTATATGTTTTTACAAAGCCTTTCCCTTAAAAGTGCAACTTGGAAGTTTGAGGCTGGGTGTTAAAGCCTGTTTTTACTTCAAATAGGAAGACCAAGATAAAAACAGCAAGAGTTAAGCTTTTCCTGAAGAGAAGTCAGCTAAAGTTTTGGGCATTTTCTTCAAAACCCTTCTAAAGAGAAAGACATTGTACAGCAAGAAGTACCAAAAGAAGTTCACAACTTCTAATTAAATCCTCAACAAATACAATGACAAAGTGGAGACACACCAACCTAATTTGTCGTGATTCTAAAAAGATGTCATTTGTAATTGTGCTCTGAACGCAATATAGAGACGTCATCTCACCTTTTTTTATTGTTACCAACACATGCGTCCATTCAAAAACCAAACAAAGCTTTGACTATGCTTGGTTGCTCCACACACTTGATAGCGGTTGATCAACAACAGACACCACACCGCACCTTGCCCCGCATTTATAAATGAACAGCTGTTCATAAAGCGAGCGATAAATAATGAAGTAAACAGGTCACACCTTGGTAACTGCATCTATTCTGCCAACTTTGCAAAGACCGCTGTCGTGAGGTTTCAAATGTCTCCGGCTTTGTTTGTCTTTATTGTGAAGCGGTTTGTTTTGAATTTTTTAATTAATTCATTATATATATTTAATGTATCGCCTTTTGGCAGAGAAGTTGGGGCTACCGTTTTATGTGAAATATATTGTTGATAAAGGCAGAGGGAGACATGGATGGATGGATGGATGGATGGGTTAATAAATGGATAGATGAATGTGTGTATGGTTGGATGAATGGATAATGGATGGACAATTTGTCGATGGAAGATTGATGGCTTGATGGATGGATGGCGGGCGGGATGGATGGATGGTCGATAAATGGATTGATAGATGGGTGGATGGATGGATGGATTGGTCGATAAATGGATAGATGTGTGTATGGTTGGATGGATTGGTCGATGAATGGATAGATGTGTGTATGGTTGGATGAATGGATAATGGATGGACAACTGGTAGATGGAAGATTGATGGCTTGATGGATGGATGGCGGAAGGGATGGATGGATTGATGGATTGTTAGATGGGTGGGTGGATGGATGGATTGGTCGATAAATGGATAGATGTGTGTATGAAACTTTAAAGAAGGCAAAAAAAGAAACTTACTGCGTATCTGTCTCTTGATTTCCTTAGTGGGATCCAACCAACACTGTAGAGAGGTAGAGAGACACAGAGCAGGAAGAAAGGAAAATCACTGTGAAATAATGTATGTTACAACAAGACACTGTACAGACATCCATGTCTGGAGTTCCTTTATGTGTACATTACTGACTTTTTGGGCATACAGTACATCCTGTGTGTGTGTGTGTGTGTGTGTGTGTGTGTGTGTGTGTGTGTGTGTGTGTGTGTGTGTACCTTCTGTTCATGGCTGTCAATGTAAGCGAGTCCAAAGTAGTCTTTCTCCATGAGGTTAAGGTGCTCACACACCTTAAAGAAGAGGAATTGGCCCTTGGCACGTTTCTGCAGCAAGAGAGAGAGAGAGGATTATAGATTAGAGTGTGTACTGTACTGTATCATTTGATGGGAAAACAATATTTAAAAAAAGGGACATATTATGCTCATTTTCAGGTCATATGTAAATGTTTGGTTATAACCAGAACATGTCTACATGATTTAACTTTAGAGAACAAACTGTTGCTGTCAAGTGTCATTATACAGCTTGAGAAGACCCATTTAAAAACTCGTAAAGAAACACATTTTGAATAGCAGTTAAACACTTGTTCAATCCTCTCAATGCGTCCTTGTTTCTTCTGTTTCATTACATCGGTCCCATTTTTCTCTTCCTTTATTTCCCTGTTTCCCTGTCTGTCTCCGGGCAACACATTCCTTCAAAGGCCCGATAGGGGCTTTAGCCATAAAATCCTCCACACTCAGCTATGACAATGACATTTAGCACACATCCATGCACCCGAACACACACACACACACACACACACAGCTGCAACCTTTAGACGGATAGAAGGTCAGACAGAGAGCGGGTGGAGAGAGGGAAAAAAAGATGAGAAAATAATGAAATAATGTTCATTTAATTTCAATAAGTCAGCACAGCTTCAGTCCAACGCTCGGCGCACACGCATACACACACACAGACAGAGTTGCAGACAGAGTTGCAGACAGGGCAGGGAGCGTGGTGAAAGTGGAAAGGAAAGAGGATGAAAGACAGCATTTTTCTTCTCGTCCTTGGACAGCTGAAAACATCTGCGGTATTTTCCTATACTCGGTCGCATTCACGCTCTCACAGTGTAGTTGCATTATGAACGCCCAAAGAATGTGACCTTTCTGTGCCAGCGTGCCTCCAAGCAAGGCACAGCGTAACAGCAATTGTCACAAAATCTGTAGATGCCTATCATTCAGACATTATCAAGGGAGAGGTTTTGGGAAATTAGCATGATTTCCCATATCAGGACATATTGCCAAGGGAACTGTTGATGTACTCTGGACTACATGCAAAAACGTATTTCACCCTTTTAAAAATGATACAGCGTGCCAGGGGGCAGAGCTGACATTTTGTTTTGGGCTCCATTGGTACCAACCAGCTAGTGTTTGTCAGGAAGGAGGAAAAACAATGCTCCAAAGAAAGGCTACATTTAGCCAAGGATAAAAAGGGGCCCACTCACCTCGAGATATCAGAGAACATTTATTGAAATCCTACTAAGTTTGGGGCAAAGAATGATATTTTTGCTTTCCCCACAGTGGGTTCACCAAGCGGTCTTGGAGACTCTTGTGAGTTCACCGAGCCCAACTGCATTCATATGTGATGATGTTATCCCATAGTAGCTATTTAATTGTATTGAGAGCAGTTTTGAAACCTGAACTCACTGTATACATGGAGCTGTTTTGACCTCTTGGATAATCACAGCCTTATGAAACTTTACAATCACAAACTCGAGACAAAGCACATACAGAGACATGGCTATATTTACAATAAGGGGGATTCTGAGCAGTTTACAGAACTGAAAAGTTTACCCCCAATCACAGAAATTAGATGTCTTGCAGAAGTCTCCACATTGTTTTAAGTTCTTGATACAAAATCCCAGCATGATATTTTCTGTGGGTTTTTCTCAGATTCTTAATGTCCTTAATGTCTTAATTTGATGGGGTATTTTGATCCAATCAAATGGTTACATTTGTTAACTAATCTATATAATAAAACGGCATCTACTCAAAAATGGCTAAAACAAATTACTAGACATAATTAAGAATGGGAATGACCATCACATACCTTCATTGTAATGTTATAAGCCTTTATGCAATTTGACAGCTTTTTAAATAATCTTTATTTCTATATGTATGTCTCGAACAACTTGACACAAAGTGCTGTATCTCAAAATAAACTTCAGAGTCTCAGCTTCCTGATAATGTTCACCACATCTATGCCAAAATGGTGCGGGAATGGTCAAAGAGGTCAAACACTACTTCGCATTCTACAGCTTGTATCCCTAGCAACATTCATTCCTGACATCACCAGTACCAAACTGCTTGACTTGTGAAATTCAGTGATGGTGTAAGAGCTAGAGAGATGCAGTGCTTGTCCGCATTTTATTTATCAGTGAGGCAGTAAAGGCCCCTCTGTGTCAAACCCAAAGTAAGTGCACCTAATATACACAAACACTACTTGACTCATGTCTGAAACCTAATGAATTCTATGAAGAGCTACTTAACCGTGTGACACCCAAATCCTGCTGAAAGCAATACTAATGACATTCTTAGAAACAGCATTAAGACCATGTGACACTAAAGGCCCTGACACACCAAACTGACACCAAAGAACACGTCCCGACGGAACATGACTGTTGTGTCGCCTCACGTCTCCTGCGTCTTGGCCAACAGTCGCACTGGAACACACCGCAAAGACTTCAGCCGACGGCCAAGTAGCACGTACGAACTGCGCATGCGTGAGTGGCAATAACTCTCCTTACCAGCAGGCGGCAGTAGTGTGTATTCAAAAGAGGCAACAACCGGAAGAAAGACTGCATGATACACCGAGAGAAGAAGAACAGACTGCGTGATATAAACAAATAACAAATAGCGTGTGCGTTCCATTTTCACTCTACAGCGAGAAGCTCATGGGGCTTTCCCGAACCTGTGTCGAGAGCTGGAGTTAAATAAAATCTCAGATTTGCCTTCTTAATCGTTTGTTTGGGTCCCTCACTTACGTTTCGCTTCTCATGCACTGATTCGCAAAGCTGAACAGCCAATCAGAGTGATTTATTTTGCCGACGGCCTTTAGCCGACAGCCTACCGATTCAACATGTTGAATCGGCGGCGGAAGGTGTCTGCACGGCCGAAAAGACACGACGGTGCGGGACACACCAATCTGAGTAGAGCGACACGACGCTCATCGATGGCCAGACATCTATCGACACCGAAAATCGGCCCGGTGTGTCCGGGCCTTAATACTCCCCTTTGAAAACACACACTGTTAAAAAGAGGCAGAAAAAAGTCTGGACAAGATTAAGTTATTACATTGGAATACATTTTATGCCATCATCGGAGGACAGATGGATGATAGAAGAATGGACACGGAAAGTAGGAACTGATGTGTGTGTGTGTGTGTGTGTGTGTGTGTGTGTGTGTGTGTGTGTGTGTGTGTGTGTGTGAGAGTGTGTGTGTGTTTGGTATTGTGTGTGTTGGAGGCCTGCTGGGCAAAACATAAAATGTAATCTCTGGAATGCATTGTGCATCTCTCCCTCTAACTATGCCAGTGTGTTGAGAGATAGAGATAGATGGATGTGGATAGATGGGTGTGAGTGTGTGTGTGCATGTGTATGCGTGTGTGTGTGTGTGTGTGCGTGCGTGTGTACTCCAGGACAATAGCAGTTAGTCGCAGTATCAGCGTTTTCTGTTTGGGAGACAAAGCAGCTACTGTTCAAACGACCGTGGACACTGTTGGGCGTTGGCACGCTGCAGATTAGGAAAAAAGATTCTCGGGTAAAGTTGCCAGTTGAAATCCCTAAAACCCCAACAAAGTTATAGAGAAATTGCTCACTATTCTTTCGCAGGGCCATTGAATTAGACCCATAACTTCTACAAGCTCCTTGACTGTGGCTATTCCTGGCATCTCCCCTTGTGAGTGAGTGTGGGAATGTGAGCAGGGGGTATTGCTAGAAACAAATAGAATACTGCTTGGGAAACAGACGTTTTTAACCACAACTATGGTAATAACGAGAAAACCTCAAGATATAAAGTTGGTTCAATTCCATAGCTAAAGCATTTTTGGTTTCTCAGTTTTTTGTTTTGTTTCTCAAGCTATTGTTTGAATCACTTGCTAATAAATTGTTACACGAGAGCCTGTGACATTAGCACGTGATGGCTCCGTATGAGTATGTCCGAGAGTGTGTGTAGAGGAGTCTGGGACACGTGCTTGTTAGGGAGCAGCAGACTCAGAAAACTAATCCGGTGGGACCCCCATAATCTGCCAGGTTTGTGTGTGTGTGTGTGTGTGTGTGTGTGTGTGTGTGTGTGTGTGTGTGTGTTCTGGTCACCAGACAAGCCCCCGTAGCGTGCTCTGCTTTACTCTGCATTTATCCCCTAAACCCCGCCCTAAACTATGTGGTGCTTCTGCCGTGGCTGCACTATTGAGGCAGAAAGTTAAAGAGCCCCACACTCAAAATCACACACACTCACAAACACAACACACACACACAACAGATCTGATCCTATTAGCGATCACATCATTGACACGCTGCCAGTCACGTATGGCTGACATGACTAGCAAGATAACTCACACGGAGAATGTGTCAATAATTTCTGAGACAACAACAACTTGTTGATGTTTCCATTATCATGTTAATCAGTGTCTAATCAGTCAGACTTACACTCTGAGGCTACATCACATGCAGAAATAACAGGGTCTTCCTTTTTGCACACAAGCAGTTTTTGGGCACCACTTAGGCCAAATGGTTGTAAAACCAATGTTGATAACAACTAGCTAAACGACTTGCCAGATCTAACAGATGTAGTCCACAGTAGACTTCTTTAGTAAGTTTGGTCATTACGCTTTTAGATGTTTTTTTTATTCTGTATTGTCTGATCTAGCTTTTCCACATTTTTCTAAACAGTTACTGTATGTCAAGAATAAAATGGTCTAAAATGATGAGGAATGTAATATTTAAATTATAAAATGTAAGATTTTCTAAATAAAACAATAAGGATATTAATAGGGAATATTTTCTTTTTCCAGGAAAACATTTAAGTGGAGAATAACATACACATTCTGCAATGGTGTACACGTCAACCATGACACATTGGTTTGATCCCATGTGATCAGAACAGAACTAACATCCAATAATGATCTAAAAAGATAAATGTGGAAAGGCTGCTTTAACATTCTGCAGCAGCAATGCAGAACAGGAATGTCAGAGTCATGTAAGGCAAATGAATTCAAACACGTCATGATACACATTTTTCGCTGCATGATAGAATATGAAACTCTTAGAGTTATCATTGACCAGTGGCGATCCGTCAGGGCCCTCTAGGCCCTCCGCTGTGACGGACCGGTGAGCGGAGCAAAACACACACTAAGAGTTAGACCTAACACACTCAGCTATTTTATCTACCTCTGGAACAAGCTAAACTAGTTATAAATATATTTATTCTTCACTGTCGGGTCACTCATTACTGGATCAGCGAGCTGCATGAGACGGATACTGACAGGCTGTCAGGAGAGAGAGAGAGAGGGAGAGAGGAAAAGAGAGCGCTTCCGCTAATGTCTCCCGTGTTATTATCCAAAGTTAATGTAAACTTGAATAATGTACTTCATTTGAATGTAATAATTATGTTGGTTGTTGTTTGTGGAAGCGCCAGTGAATGAGCCCCATTAACTGAGTTTTAAACATCACTTTAAATGGAAGATCCCTATCGGCCCCGTCCACTTGATCGGATCGGTGATCGGTATCGGTTGATACTGATTCCGGCGATCGGAGCATCCCTAGTTAAAAAGGAGGTTACTTCTCTTGAGGCCATGCATGCTGAGAATCCAACTCTTCTCAATAAAACATTTAAAACGAGCTCAGAATCTGCAGATATTATCCAATAGTAAACCTTCCCCATCTTCTGTTCTCCTCCATGTTTATGCTCTACGTTGCGACTATCAACAACAAAATGTGGAGTCTTACCTCCACCTCGCAGGTGAAGTCTGTCCCGTCCAGGAGCGTCACGAGACACACCGCCAGTTTCATCTTGTTCTTCCTCACCAGTCGAAGAGGAGACTGGAAAATAGATGTATGGCCCTCCTCTCCTCCTCCTTCTTCTCCCTGTGCTTCACCTTCTCCTTCCTGCTCCTTCTTCTCCTCCTCCGCTCCCTCTCCTTCTTCTGTCACTGCGGTCTCCTCTGGACTTTTCTCAGCACTCTCTTCCACCTTCTCCTCCTTTGCAGGCTTGAAGGAGATAGCGATTTGCAAAGTAAAAAAAGGAGATCAATTGTGTTAAAACAGATACACACATGGTTTCCCACTGAAAAACCACTCCATCTTCTATACAAAAGCCACTTTTTGCTTCGTGGTGAAAGAAAAATCATATAAAATGTGACCGTTTGTTCAAAACTAAGTAGGAAAGAGTACTGCTCTCTCTATCACTCTCCTTTTTCTAATCTGAATTTGCTCTTAGAATCTGCAGGCGTTCCTTTTGTCCTGATTACTGAAATGTTGATGTCACTGGGTGGGCCTGGGTGGCTTAATGCGATCACTGGATGGAACAGTTTATGTGTGCACGTGTGTAAGAGGGAGAATGGCTGTGTGTCTCTCTCTCTTTCTCTCCTTGGCCGAGCAACAGTTTTAAACAGATGGACTGTGCTGCTGTGAGTTTGTCAGCGTACCTTCTATCGTGTGAGATGCTATTTGACTAAGTAACAACATATCAACACTGGCTTATTGTTAAATCTAAAAATGAGAGTGTGTGTCAGCAGCAATATGTCTGACTGACAAAGGAAGACATTTGTTTAGGCAAAGTACCATTCACCAGCTTGCTGTGTGTGGTCCATTAACATCTATGGTTATGTGCTACCTGTCAGCAGTGCATATTCTCATTTTGACATGGGAAATCAACATTAACCCCCTTAGATCTACAATAGCCGCTTACCTATTCATTTATTTTTTTGGACAAATAAAATCTAAATAGGTGTGATTTAAATTGGTGGTAAGGTGGATTTGTTAAAGATTTTTTTTCAAAATACCAAACAGATCACCCATTGTAGCCATGCCTCTTACTGATCAAACCCTTCTTTTGCAGCCCTGTTAGAGAAACGCAGATTTGGGGTCCTTAGCTTGAAATAAATAAATAAGAGGAGGCGGAGCTAATGCCTGATCAGAATTATACTGGAGATAAAGTTAAATTCGGTTAAACGCCATCCTGTTTAAACCACGTCAAGGATTATTTCTGAAACAGTATGGAGCTCAAATGCTTTTTCTCTTGCAGGTTTCATCACAAGGTGAGTTCTTTTTTTATTTCCTGCTTTTTAAAAACACATGCGCTCTACAGTACAGGTTAGCTCTGAGTGTTAGCGAGGCTTGCTAATGTAAACAAAGACGAGATTACGTCCAAAACACGTCAGGCATTGTTTCTGATAGCAACTTTCTGTGGGTCCATGACGTCACAGCGGATGGACACGTCACAGCAGATGGAAATCTGTATCCGCTTGTTGTAGCCCCGTTTTTAGAGATTTGGGTACGGAGGAAAAGAGAGAGGGTTGTATTTTCTGACGCTGCGTGAGTTCCCCGACGCACCGGGGACACATATTTATGTATAAAAGACATCACAAAGTGCATTTTGCATGATAGGTCCCCTTTAAAGTAGTATTAATAATCCCATTTTACATTCCAAATATTTTACGCAACAAGTACAGGGTATTTTTGCTGTAAATAACTATGTTTTTGTTTTAAATATATTTGATGTTTTTGTTTAGTTTGTCATTTTGCTTCCACAGTTCTAACCTTATCCATGTTGTTTAATTACCAATATTTTGGGAGAATAAATAGTGAGAGATCATGCCTCAACCAAAACTTTTATCATGTGTGATCTTGCATGTAGACTAGATGGAGACCCCCCTTTGTACTTATTAAGTTTGCTACGTATGAGCCTTACCTCGGTGTCTGCGCTGGCTGTGGAATGAGATTCTGCTTCTTTTTCCTTCACTTGGTCCGACTTTACTGCCTCGTTATCTTCCTCTGCGTGACCGTTCACTTCTGGGACAGGCCCGTCCTCTTCCTGTGCATCCTTGCTATCGCTTTCCCCGGTGGTTGGCTCCTCCTTGGTCGGGGAGGTCTTTGAGAGTAAGGGGAGAAAAAAACAGACATTTAAAACCCAACTAAATATAGGTGTGCTGGAATGAGTCCGTAATCCGAGAATGAGTTAGCATTGTAGAATTTCTGGGTTCTATCATCCAGATAAAATGAATGAAATAACATCAGACGGTAACATAAGCTAACGAAATGTTCATGTTGTGTTTTAGGACATAACTCATGTCAGTAAATACCACACTTGTACATTTCTGAAGCTTTTGCCTAAAAAAGGGGTTTACCTCATTAAAAGTGACAAAAAAGCCAACTAATCATCACGCCACCACGAGTTCGCCTTCAGTCCAGTGTTGGTGACAAGAAGCTTTGTGATTGGATGTGGTTTGTTTATGGCATTACGTTTGTTATTTACTTCTGACAATTCTTTTTGTGCTTCAAAATGTCTAAAAGTGATGTGTGGAGATGATACTGCTGAACAAAAACACGAAAAGTATTTCAAAATTCTAAAATCGAATGGAAAAAGAAAGCAAGCGATCTCTTGCCATGCTATCTTCAATGAAGTACATTTTAGAAGATAAATAGTAAAGTATAGAAGGTGTATGTAAGGGTTTTACCTGAGACTTCTGCTTCTTAAGCCATGTTGGCAGGTATCGAGCTATTCCTTTTCCCTCCTTCCCGTCTTTCTCCTTCTCTTTCTCCTTCTCCTCTCCCTCGGCGGCAGTTACTTCCGGAGCTTCTTCTGAGGCCTTCTCCGATTGGTCGGTCTCAGCGGCTGACTCCTCGGCTTTCTCCTTCACCTCTGTCTCAGAGCCCACTTCTGTCGTCATGGTGACGCGTCAACCTGCAGAGCGAGGAAGGAGAGCGATAGACAAGCATTAGATTTGAAGTATTACAGGAAAAAGAATGATAAAAACTAAGACTTTTATCAGGAATAATACATAGATCTAATTCTGGGTTTATTTACTTGGATCTTTAAATATATGCCCAAAGGGAAAATGTATTTAAAAAATACATGTTTTTTCCAATCTTTATTTTATACTTAGTATAATGATATCACTATCTTTGGGCTACTGGTACAGTATATCACAGAGAGATGGAGGAAAATCAGACTGCTCCACTGAATTTGGCACAAATATAAATCTTTCATGGCACGCAACTGCAATTTTAGTCTGGAGTATATTTTATAAATGAGCCACATGGTCTCTTTCTTTACCGAGCTATCAATGTTTCCCTTCAAATGGGAGGAAGACAGAATGGAAGATAAAGAAAATATATAATATATATAACACATATATTAAATCTATGGCAGTGTTATCAGTTTCTCAATGCAGCCTTCTAGTTCACAGCTGTTTGCACCTGAGCTCATGGCAGTTTGAAACATTAGCTGTTGTTAGCTCTTTTTACAAAAGAACACAAGAGTTGAGGATGTCATTATGTCACACAACGAGTTTCATCTGGGTCAGCAGCTGGTTACAAGGAGTGTCTCACACACACACACACACACACACATACACACAGAGTGAAAGAGGGGAAATGACTCAATTCTTTATATGCGAGTCATTGTTTTTACCCTGCAGCTGTGGTCAACACACAGACACACACTCTTCAACCCAAATATATTTGGCAGCGCTGTCCACACACACCCTCTCAACGCACATAGTAATTTGGCGTGACACTAATTTCATGATAACACTAGTTGACCCGTGAAATTGGTCTTGAGGGGAAGACGAGGTCAGAATGTGCGAACCTGCCCGCTAAGGGAGTCCACCTACATACACATTACACACAGTCTGCTTTTAAGTGTTTTTGATTGAGTTTCCACACGAGTGCCTTCAGGCTGAGGGTTAAGCATGATTCATACTCTATTGAGTCATTGTCATCCACTGTCCTTTCAATTCCTTCTGAATCATTGTCTCTCTGGCCCTCTCCTCTAATTCCCTTATTCATTACGTCGTCTGCATTTTACTTTCTGACCGTCTCCCACTTTCTCTTTTATGCCTTGCCACCTTCAATAAGAACACACACACACACACACACACACACACACACACACACACACACACACACACACACACACACACACACACACACACACACACACACACACACACACACACACACACACACACACACACACACACACACACACACACACACACACACACACACACACACACACACACACACACACACACACACACACACACACACACACACACACACACACACACACACACACACACACACACACACACACACACACACACACACCACACACACACACACACCACACACACACACACACACACACACACACACACACACACACACACACACACACACACACACACACACACACACACACACACACACACACACACACACACACACGTCAGTAGGGGGGGTGGAGGAGGGGAGTCAAAATAGAACAGGTCTCCTTACGCATGATTGGCTAATGAGGCAGGGTGGGGAGGAAGGGATGGAGAGAGAGAGAGAGGTGTGTGTAGGTGTGTGCAAATGTCAGACAGGCAATATAAGTGTGTTCTTTTGCAGATGAGGAGAAAAAAAACAAATACCATCGTTTTTCAGGAAGGAATCTTAGTGATAAAACACAACAAACCGCAATCAGCACTAAGCCCTCTGGTTCTTAATAATGATATTTACCTAAAATCAGGTCACAGATGCATTTGGGGATTTTTCCACTTTAAGGATGGACACATCCGTCTCTAGGTCAGAAGATTATTATGTTGGTGCACACTGGAATATTTTAAGATGGATTAGCGTGACATTTGCTCAAATCATTCATGATCCCCACAGGATGAATCCTATTGACTTCATTGATTATTTTACTTTCAGTCTAGTACCAACAGCAGGCTAAAGTTTTGAGAGAGAAATGTCTTTACTTCGCACATTTGTTTATTTACATTTCATGGATGATTCTGAATGGCTCTGCTGAATTCTGCTGAGTCATCTTGGCATTGACCCAAGTGTAGCGCTGTTCCCTCACTGTTGAACAGTTGCATCTTTTGGGAAATATTAAACTATGGTAAGTACATATTTTTTTAAATGCTCTTTTAATGGGTTACATTTACAGAGGGACCTTTAAAGAACAAAGGTAAACATAATAAATACATACATAGATCGAAATATTACCCATTTTGTACAAAAGCCAATGTTTCGGCAGATTCATTATTATATCAATAAACTGACATGCATTATAAGACTAAGTCTCTTGTATTTTTTAAACGTATTTGACATCAATTAAACATTATTTACAATATGTTTGCACTATTGAAGCTTTAATTATGAAAATCAATAACATGTATACTCAATGCATTGTATAACATTTTTCAATAAAGTTGGGGATAGTTGTGTGCAGTGCAGGCATGATGACACTGTTACACAAGCTTTAAAAGAGCAATCATTCTGAAGTATTAAGAGTGTGCAGGTTGTTTTTATCTGCGCAGGCGATCTGAATACATTATTAATCCATTTGAGCATATTTGTCTCCCTATTTATGAGGATTGGGGTCACGCTCAATGTGCTCCTTCAACCCTTCAGTAGAGTCACCATACATACGGCAGTTCCCCTCCTCAGGGACACCGTGTTTCTCAACGGACTAGCTAGCAGTGTATCTGTGAGTGTTTGTGCGAGTTGGCATCAGAGTGCAGCTTTATGCAAGACGTTCGTCACGGCCTCCTCTTTAAACCGGCCCTCTGTCTGTAAAACGGGGAGCCTTGTTTACCTCCCTCACAACTTTATAACTCACCCTCTCCTCTCTTTCTATCTTCCACTCTGCAGCCCAGGGTGCCTCTTTCTCGTTTTCACTAAATCTCTGCACTCATCTCTCTCTCAATCCCTTCCTTCCGGGCCTCCATTCAATCGTCCACTCACATCATCTCCCCCTAAACCCCCTCCTCTGTCTCTCTTCTTCCCACAGTCCATTAACACAATAGGAGTGACATTATTACACGCTCTCTCTTCATATATACATCGTAAAATAGTCTGAATAACATCTAATGCAAGTCCTTCATGGGGGATGGTAGTCATGACACTATTTTTATATTTGACAGTACTATGCAGTGGTGGAAAGTAACTAAGTACATTTACTCAAGTACTGTATTTAAGTATAATTTTCATGAACTTGTCTTGAATATTGAATCACCTACTTCTTTATACTTTTGCTCAACTACATCCCATAACATGATGTGATTATATGATCTATACTCAATATATTCACAGTAGTATAGAAAGTATTGAAACATTACTACATTAAACAACGTTGACATGTAAATGTAAAAAAAAAAATATTCTACCAGAATAACTCAACATTTTGAATAAGGAATACCTCTATATTTGATATATTTAGCTGATAATACTCATGTATTATACTTTTTTGGTATTACTGTACGGTAATACTTTTGATTTAAGTAAAGGATTCGAGTACTTTTTTCACCACTGGTCATATGAATGGGTTAAACATGATTTTAGCAGACCTGCGTCATAAACTCACTTCTGTATGAAAGAGGTTAACAGATGTTTTCTTGTATCATCAAGAAAGTATGTCTTTGTTTCAGACGAGCCCTGTACTATTACACAGTCAATTAGCAGCGTTCAAGTAACCCAGTTGTCTAAATAGGCAGAGAAAAGCCTGCAGAGTCCTGACACACACAAACTCAGACACTCACTCTCAACACCGATCTTTCTTTATATCTGTTCCTCTCACTTAGCATATCTTAAGGTATTTCCTCATCTTATTATCTGTAGACGTACATAATTGCAAGCTACATCAAAGCAGCCATCAGTATATATTTTAGTTGTAGTTGGTATTCTTTAATGTTATTATTTGTTTGACTCGATCAGATTAGAATGTTCTGTTTTCTTGCTGCAAATTCCACCTGCTGTAAGTACACTACAAACAGCCTTTGCACATGACCGTCACAAGACACTAAATCCATCACTTTACCACCTGTTGTGTTAGTTTCTGTTTTTCAAAATAAGAGTTGAATGAATGATTAAACAAACTGATGGACACCAAACTAATGTCCTTACCTATCGTTGCTTCTGTTGCTCTCTTATTCCCCGTAACTCCTTTTCTTTGGTCTCTTCTTTACACCACTTTCCCTTCTAATAGTCCTCACTTTCTTTCACTCTTCTTCTCTCTCCTTTTGCCTACATCTGCCTTACTCACTTCCCACGTCTTAGAAAATGCCTGCCCTACAAACCATCATTGCCATTTTCTCTCTCCCATCCTCCCTCTCTCGTCTCTCCCTCGGAGCTCTGCTTCCCCTCGGGACGTTCGCTCACAGAAACAAGGGCAGAGAAGTAGAGGGTGGGGGGGGGGGGGGGGGGGAGTGTGAAAGAGAGGAGCAGAGGCTCAGGGAGTGCTGGAGGAAGAGATATGGCGAGAGGTGAAAGAAGGATGGATGAAGGAGAAAGGAGAAGGAGAGAAACCACACCTACTGTGCCAGAGTGCTAATGGACGCTAGCATGGACTATATGTTTCAGAAGCATCTCTACAACACAGAGTCATTAGTATTACCCCACTGGCTTCTCATATTTTGCAATGTCATTCTTCTGAGGATAGACATCATTAGTAAAAAAATATATATATATCAATTAAACAGAGACCTCTTAAACAATCACCAGAGAAGATGCCGCGGCCAGATATTCTATTTTGGTTCAAACTGCCTGTGGCTAGAGTGCTGTCTTTTATATACACTTGTACAGATTCCCCCTATGAGTCCATGTCCTAATTTCCAAATGTAGTCTGTTTTCATCCCTCAACAGGGCTTGAACTTCAGGTCTTGAGGATGGAAAAGAAAAAGGTAAGGGACGATA